TTCTAACCCTCCTCTTGAACTCTGTTCTAGACATAGATCATTCTGACAGTTGTAGAATTGAAGGATTCTGCAGGGACTCAGTGGGACTTCTAGGGTGTGCATGTGTCTGTCTCTGTCTGTTTGTCTGTATGCATTTCCCCTTCCTCCTGCCTTTGCTTCCTCTCTTTTTCTGTCTTACTGTGTAGTTCAGGATGGCTTCAAACTCATAGCAATCTTCCTGCCTCAGCCTCCCAAGAGCTTAGAGTCAGGCATGTACCATCATGGGATGATGAAGTGGATGAGGAAGGAAACTCAAGAGTGAGGTCTGATGATACAGAGCATGCGTGCCCTGCCACCTGCCTGGAGGCCACTACCACTCGGCATGAAAGCCTCCCTTCTGGGCCAGAGATGATATAGCTCAGCAGTATAACTGCCTGCCTGACAAGCACAAGGCCCTGAGTTCAATCTCAGGTACCACAAAAAACAAAAACAAAAAAACCCAATAGTATCCACTGTACCTTAAGTCTCGGAGGTTCAGACACCTCCTCTAGAAGGCCAAGAATGGGGCAGATCTATTGACCATCTTTTCTTACTTTCTCTATTTTGTGATTTACCATCGTGGGGCTTGCTAGCTGAGGAGAAGCCCATCACTCCAAGTGCTGTTCCACCACTTGTGCCCCAGAGCAGCCAGTTGAGTCCATCACAGGACCACACACCCAGGCAAATGTGCCCTGCCTCAAATCAACCCAGGAGCAGTACCAGGCAACAAGAGCCCAGCTCTGTACCCCAGACCCTGGCAGGAAAACCCAGCCAGTCCCCTCTGTCACTCCGCCCTGCCTGGCCTCCAGGGAAACCACTTAAGGGCTTGGCCTCACCTTACCAAACCTGCTGCTCCCAGGCACCCGAGTGGTCCTGCATACCCCCCACCCCCCGCGAGAGAACTGTGAGCAGCAATTTCTCCCACAGAGGCTTTGTCTCCTCCAGTTTTCACTCAGCCACCTCCTTACACTACAGTCAAATGGTGCCCTCAAGACATGAGGGCATCAGGAAGCAGCTGCACTCAGTCCCTTGTGCTTGGGCACTGAAGCAAGTAATGGGATAACGACAGCCTCGTGCTGGCTGCAGTACAGGCTTACGGTAAATCTTCGTACCGGCACACAAATGTTTCTTGCTTTTTTTCTCAATTTTTTTTGGCTTTTGTTAGAATATATATATATATATATATATATATATATATATATATATATAATTTAGTATAGGGTCTACAGGGTCTCACTACACAGATCCAGACTCATAGTGATCTGCCTGTTTTCAGCCTCCCAAACACTGGGATCACAGACGCATGCCTCCATGCCAAATCTCATTCGCCCTCTCAGCACACCCAAGGGGCAAGTCACCACAGCAGGCCAGGGATCGAACCCCAGTTCCTAGGCCTGCCTAAGCAGGTGCTTTAGTCTGCTAAGCTATCTGGCCAGTCCATCTTGTTATCCTATTTGCATTTTAGAAGGAGTTTGTGAAGCTCCTTTTAAAAAAAAAAAAAATGTCTTGGAGTGTTTATTAGAGCCATGAAAAGTCTAGAGAGCTGGAACTGCCACTTCCCTGGCTGCCAATGGTAGACTACAAAGATTCCCCAATTTTTCACACTCTCTATAAATAAGGTCAGATGCCTGTTGTTTTAAGCAACTCAGTGTTGGAGGTGATTTTCTTACACACCAACAGCTGCCTGAGATCACTCAGCAAGTCTGGCATGAGTAATGGGAGACAAGAATGTCCAAGGGGGCAGGAGAGGCAAGCAAAGGGGTAATTCAAGCTGAGCAAACACCCTCCTGAGCGTGGGTGAATCTTGGCTGCCACTGGAAGATCTACCCACCACCACCAACCCAGGTGGCCTTCACCACACCCCAAGGGGTAGAATTCACAACAGAAAAGACTCATAGCGGCCCCAGGAAGCCTGTCTTCTGACCACACTGCTGCCTTTCCTGATTTGGCTCCCCTGTGAATGGGGAAAGACTGAATGATGTCCAGGCAAAGGGGACTGCAAAGGACCACATCCTCTATGCCTCAGTTGGAGACCTAAGAGTTGTGGTGGGGGCTTTGAATGTGGCCAGGGCACAGGACCTGGTAAGAGGAAACTGGAAAGGAGGTCCCAGTGATCTTGTGTGCTTGTTTGTTGGCTTTCTTGTCTGCAAGGACCAGGCTCCAGGAAATGCAGCCTCCTCAGAAATGTTAGGCTCCAGGAATCCCTGCCTTCCACAGAGCTGCATGGAGCGAAATGCCCAAAGGAGACACAGTCAGGCCCCAGGACAGAGGGCTCCCTGCTGGGGGTCAGGGACTATGGGACCTCAATCCTCTTCGGATGGATTCTTGGCTTGGAGGCTGTACCCAGCATGCCCCAGCCCTCAGGAGTAGGGACAACATCAGCCAACTTCTGGTGAGGCTCTGGGGTCCTGGAGTGGCTGGAGCAGAGTTCAACAGGGCAGGAAGGAACCTCCAAGCTTTGGACTGCGCAGGAGATCAGCTGACTTGCTGTCTGTCCTCAGGATTCAAGTTTCTGGAGTGGCTGTCAGTGGTCACCTGTACTCATCTCAGGAGCCACCTGTTCCAGATCTTGGCACCTGGATTTGACCTGCCAAGACTGAAGAGCCCCAGGCTGCAAATCATATGACAGTGCCCCTTGTAGCCGTCCGTATGGACCCAAGACTCAGGAAGAACCACAGCTTCTCTCTTCCCACCCAAGGGCCTTCCAGCACCCTGGTCTCCATGATAGCAGTTTCTCCAAGAAGTCATGTCTCATTTCCACACTAACCCAAAGCTAGATGCCTGAGTTGGGGACAGTAAGCTAAGAGAGAAAGAGGTGAGTGGCTGAGGAAGGAGAGGGAGAGGGCTTGGCCTCAGGGCCAACCCTACCTTGGAGATGAAAAAGGGTGGCAGGGCTCAAGCTTCTCAGTGTGGCTGCTGGGCTAGCGTAGAGCTCTTAGGGTCTGGGAGCAGCAGTGGAGAACAAGCGTTATGAGCACTGTCATGGGAGTCCCCGCAGCTGGGTGGGGTACAAGGTGCTGCAGGCAGCTTGGTGCTGAGTGGTGAGGAGGGGGCCCAGGGCAAGAGCCCATTCCCCTCTGGTGCCTCAGTTACCCAGTGGCTGGGGGTCTCCGGTGGTCCTGAGGCTCAGCTGCACAAGGCGAAGATCACCCAGGCTGTGGTCCCTGCATGAGCTATCTTTGGGCCTGAATAGCAGGATAAGAGGCCAGCAGGTGGGAATAGTGACTCTGAGCAGGGCACTGGGTCTCTGTCATCTGAGTTTCTGACCTTCTGCTCCCAGCCACTCTCTCAGGCTCCTCCCTGCCTCCTCTTGAGAAAAGCCCTTGGAATCCAGGCTTTGCATGAGATCCATGGGCTCTGGGGCTGCCAGCACCTCCTCCCTCCAGCCCTGCATGTCTGCCCAACTCTGGCACCATTCCTTCCTCTGGGCACCCTCTAGATGTTGGCATTGCTCAGGTCCCTTAGAGGGCTAGATGTCCCCTTCCCCAATGGGAGCTGCACCTCCTGTGCTCCTTGCCTTGATTACCCTGCTGCTCACAGGAACTCCACGTTATCTTTGGTGACCCTTGCCCCATCTCTCAGGATATTGTCCCTTCCTTGATAGCTCATGCCAAAAGTTCCCTACCCTTGAGACCTTACTACTGAGCTGTGCCAAATCCCTATCAGTGGGCACCCAGGGCCTGGCTAGTATCCTGTCCCACTCATGATGCCTTCATTCAGTTGGCCCCGAGCACTCCCAGGGCAGGGTCTCAGACACAGTCACAGGGTCCCTGCAAAGGGACCACTGTAGGTTGATCACACTTAGTACTATGGAGCCCTCTTCCTAGGTCACTGAGATTAGGGTTCAGGGCCATGGCACAAGAGCTGCCAGCACCATAGCTTATCAGTGGCACAGAAGGCAAAGGGAACTTGAAGGAGGTGACAGAAGTGATTTAGGCAGAAGAGGTGGCTGAAGGCTCAAAACTCAGGAGACAGCTGGAGAGGCCTCCGGAGACAGGGAACTTGGGAGCTGGAGAAAAAACTGGCCAAGACAGGAGACTGGAGGGGCAGGGATGCCAGGAAGGGAGAGCAGGCCACAGCCTGGTTCCAGTAGGGAAAAAGATGCACACCCTGGGTCCCACTGCCCCCAGGGCATTCTGTACCTGGGGCAAAGCTGAGGACCCAGCCACCTCTCCTAGCCCCGAAGAGCTCTGAGGGCTTAGCCTCCCACCCCCACTTGAATGCTCAGAGCCTACCCATGGCTTTCAGGGTCCCTCCTGCATCGCTGGAGGTAGAACCCTGGGAACTGGAAGCAGCACCAGGCCAGGCCCACCCCAGGTAGCAGAGGCAGCAGGAAGCTGAGGAGCACTGCCAGCAGGAAGGTGTCTCCATCTGCAGAGGACAGGGCACTGAATTCCTGATCAGGCGTACCTCTGGGGGCCCTGTCCACCTGTCCCTCACTGGCGTACTTTCAGGCTGCACTGGGCCGCTGTCCACACTACCACCAAAGCCCAGCTTGTCACAGAAGGGCGGGGCCCAGCCTGGAGAGCAGTGGCAGTTATGGTTGCTATTGCAAACCTGCAGAGGAGAAAAGGAGAGTCATGTGGAGTCAGGGACCCCAACATCACCCCACTGCTCAGGCCACTCACCCCATGGTTGTGGCAGGCAGGCAGGCAGTGCTCCAGCTCCTGGGAAGAGGTGTTTTGGCAGTGTCTGTCCTGGCACACCTATGGGCAGAGTGCTCACTATGCAGTGAGGATGACACTTTTCCCTGTGAAACTCAAGTGGCCAAGAGGAGTCACGTGACCAAGGCTTACCATTCTAGGTCCACACTGAGTGCCTGACTGTACCAGGCCCAAGTCCAGCAGGTCCAGCTGGGCATCTGGGAGTGTCAGGGCTGCACGGCAAGCTACTTGGTGGCCGTCTAAGTAGACCTTAGACTCCACAGGCACAGCTTGCGCCACCAAGGGGTTGGGCTCCCCACCCTGGCACTGCAGCACTCCGCAATGAGCATCCCTGGGGAGCAAGTGGAGGGCAATCAACCTTGCAAGTGTGGCCTTCCTGGACCCACGCACAGCCGTGGCTCCACCACTGTGCCCCTCACCTCTGAGCGCATGGCAGGAAGCGGCCTGCACCATCTCGGCCACAGTTCCCAGTGGCATCTCCCACGGTGTTCACCTGGAAGCAGACCTCAGGGGCTGGGCGGGATCCTGAAGACAGAAGCACCGCACTAGGGCAGCACAGCCGGTAGAGTCCCTGAGAGCCTCAGTTCTCTGAAGACTCTGCCCACAGGAGGAAGCGACCGGCCTGAGGAGGGGCCAGGGTGCGGGGACGCATGGTCTCACCAGGCCCCCAGAGCCGCTCGCACTGCTGCTCCAGCGTGGGGCACGCGCCGTCCCGGCAGTAGCCTTGGCCCCCAGCGCAGGGCCAGCCGTCCAGCAGGTAAACATCGGGGGGACAATGGGGGGAGGCTCCCGTGCAGAACTCAGGGAGGTCGCAGTCGCCTGCAGCCCGGCGGCACAGCGTGCCAGCCGGCTTCAGCTGAGCAGATGCCCCAGATGAGACCAAGGACAGGGACAGATGTGAGCCGAGCTCGCTCTGGGTCCGGCACGACCGCGCAGAGCCAGCACCCAGCAGGGACCAGAGGGCGCTCACCAGGCAGCGTGCGCAGCAGTCCCCGTGGGCACAGTGGGCTCCCGCACGCAGCGTGCAGTTGTGGGCGAAGCAGCAGGGGTCGAGACACTGTTAGGGTCAGATAGATGAAACTGGGCGAGGTGCGGGCGTCGTGCCCCAACCTCCGGAAGGAAGCGAGAGGAGGGCCGGGCCGGTCCTCAGAGACCCGCAGCGGGCCTGACCTGGCCGGAGCCGCAGTCGCACTCTTCGCCCGCTTCCACGAAGCCGTTCCCGCAGCGCGTGGGCAGCTTTGGGTGTCCGAGCTCTGGGACGTCGGAGAGGCACGCGCCGCCCCCCTTGCGGAAGAAGGCCCGCAGCTGGCGCCGGCTGCAGGCGCTGAAGACGCGCGGGAACGGGCGCCTAGGGGCGGGGAGGGCGTCGGGAGCGCGGGACACCCCAGCCCCGTGCCCAGGCGCGATGGGAGGCAGGGGACTCCGGAGGCAGAGCCCAGAGGGGAGGTGACTTAGCCCGAGGAGAGGAAGGAGTGAGGTTCAGGGGATAAGGGGGAACAGCGACCCAGCGGGGCTCCTCCTCTTTGCGGCAACCTTGCTGGGTTACACACTTTTCATACTCGCGAGAATCCACTTGGCCTGTGTTTTTTCACTCATGAACAACCAAAAAGACAAGTGGTTGTCACCATCCCCACTTTACAAAAGAGAAGCCGTGAGCTAAGCAAAGCAGCACGCGGGGAACAAGCCCGGCCCCGCGCACCCGCGCGCACCCGGTGGCCGCTGCCATGACGCAGCCGCCTGGCTCCGCGCAGCAGCCGTCCGGGTCGTGGCTGAGGCCCAAGCTGTGGCCGATCTCGTGGGCCATGGTGGCCGCAGCGCCGATGGGGAGCTCCGAGTGGTCCTGGCGGTATGTGTGAGTGTCACTGCGGGAGCGAGCTTTGCTCAGCCCGGTCCCCGGGTGCCCGGCTCACCATGCTCACACCTCCGGAGCTCTCAGCGCGGCACATTCCCTCGACGGGCGCCAGCCCCACGGTGGTGCCTCGGAACGTGCGGCCCCTGAGAGCAGAGCACGGCTTGACCAGGAGAGGGGCCAGGGAGGTCCAGGCACCCTGCCTGCCACCCACGGGGTCAGAGACACCCACGTCAGCAGCTGTGTGGAGTCGTGTGGCCGATGCGCCCATAGCCGCCGGCGCCACTGCAGGAAGTCCCAGAGAGTGGCATTCGCATCGGGTGTGACACGGCTGCAGTCCTGTTCTGTCCACACTTCCAGGCCAGTCAACACCACCTGAATGTCCAGGGTCCTGAGGATCTGAGGAGGGGAGGCGTGAGGCCCTTGGAGGCGGCCCCCCTTCCCCTGTGCCCTGCCTCACCAACCTCTCCTGCCTCTCCAACCTGGTCTACATAATTGGCAATCTCCAGGAGACGCTGTTTGGTGTGGTTCAAGTTCCTGTGCTGGATCAAGAACTGGGAAGGCAGAAATCACCCAAGTGATGGGCTGTGTTGACCCTGCCCAAGCCCTGTCCCGACCCTGGGGCTGCCCTCACCAGAGAGTGGTCGGCGACTAGGTACAGCTCCAGGTACCTCGGGCCCCTCTGGGTTTCCCGTCTCTCCTGTGGAGGCCAAATGGTGACCTTGAGTGGCAAACCACTGGCCTTCAGTCCTGACCAACCTCAATTCCCAGAAAGAAATCTTAAAAGTTGGCTAGAACTTGTTTCTTCAGCCTCTGAATTAAAATACCAGGACAGGTGGCCTCTGGCCTGAGACATGAATCCCTGTCTCCTCTGATTTGGGGGACTACATGGGCACACTGTGTTTGTTCCTCCTCCCACCAGGGTCTGTGCCCCTGACCCTGCTCTGGGGGGCAAGAGGAAGCCTGGCCATGCTCCCTTTGTCCCCAGGTTCCCTGCTGCAGATCCCTTTCCAGATGGGCAGCCTCTCCATCCGGAAAATCCTGTGCGTTGAGAGGTCTTCAGGTGGCCAAGGGTGCAGGTAGTAGCTGGTACTGCTATTGAGCCAAATCAGTCCCCTAGGTGCAGAGGGGTGAGAGCTGGGTGTCAGGGAGCTCTTGCCTTAGCTTGGACCCAGGCTCTGGCCCCAGAACTGCTCACCTCATCCCGGAGCAAGTGCTGAGCACGACCCAGGAGTTGGAGAAGCCCCTCACTTGCCCACGGTGGTAGCAGTGGTCCTGGGGAGGAAAGACTCCGGCCCTAAACCTCAGCCAGGGCTGAAGCAGAAGGAAGGCAGGTAGGACAGGGAGGGCAGGGATCTGGCTCCAAATTCCCCTAGGATTGGTGATGGGGAGTTGGGTAGGGAGAGTGAAGGGCTACCTCGTGTGCCATCCCCAGCACCCTCGCCCTCCTCAGAGCCCATAGACATGTCTCACCATGTGGTTGGGGATCAGCACCACTGGCTGCCCGTCTTGGCTATAGTGGGTTTCTGTGTACCCTGGGGCCAGCAGCCTGCCGGGAGAGGATGTTCAGGAATCACACCAGTCACCCAACCTCCTCCCGGTCTCCCTCCCTGAAGGCCATGGAGCAGCTCTAAGAGTGAGGTACCCTTAGAAACACCTTGAGTTAGACAGAGAAAGGCGAAAGTCAGAAAGAGCTCTCTTGATGGCTTAGATGTGGAAGGTGGGAGCAGGAAAAGCACCCAGAAGGAATGCAGGAGGGCCTGTGTTCCCAGGGGACCTGCAATAGGCAGGTCAGGAGGGGAAGTTTTCAGAGATGCTCCTGAGAAGGCGGAACCTACAGCCACAGGAAGTACGGCTGCTTCTGGCTGCCTACCTCTTGGGTACCCAGACTATACTCTCATCTCCACATCCTCTCCTCAGACCTCCTGTGGCCCCTCAGTGGGGCTGTCTGCCTGCTTCCAGAGGAAGCAGCCCACACAAGCTGCTGCCTGCTCCCCTTTGCAGGCGTTCCACATCCCCATTATCTCTAGGACCTTTTCCTCAGATCCCTTCCTCCTGGAAGGGTCAAATGGAAGCTAATCCCTCTTTAAAGAAAATTCTTGCTGGATGTGGTGGTGCATGCCTACAATCCCAGCAATCAGGAGGCTGAGGCAGGAGGATTCTTTTGAGTGCTAGACCAGCCTGGGCTACAAAGTGAGCCCAAAGCCAGCCTGAACTACATAGTGAGACCCTGTCTCAAAAAGACAAAAATAAATAAATATTTAAAAAAGAAAGAGAAAAAGTAAATACTGACTCCAATTCACTGTGGCCTCTTTAACTCCAGACCCCCAGAGACCTGCGGTACCTGCTTTTCCACTGCCCAGTCATTCCTCCAGCTTCTCTAGCCTCACTTCCCACTGTGCGTGGGAATGGATGTATTCGCATCCATGGAGCAGGTGGATAAACCCTCCCTGCCTGCTCATTCGCCAGCCCAGGATTTTGTTGTGAGTGTTCAGAACCCAAGACCCTAAAATCCCTTGTGAGGTGGCCTAGCTGGATCTCCTAAACTCATCCCCCCACCACTGTCTTTCTTGCAGATGTGGACTCTACAGACAGGATAAACATACTGACGTCCTGAGTGTGCTTTGACCCTTGTTGCCCCCATCCCTTGCTCAGCCTGCAGAGCTGTCCTGTCTGTGCAAAGTGGAAACGGCTGAGAGTCTTCTAACTGAACACTAGGGGGCGGCCGCTGGTCTCCACAGGGAGCTGCCCCGCTGCTGCAGAGCTGGATGTAGCCTCACGTGGGGCTCGCCCAGCCTCAGCATCCACCTCAGCCTCCTGGGGGCCAGCCACAGGCCAGGGTAACTGCTGTCACTCGCACTCCTTCTGAGTCCCTTTTCCAGCAGACTTCCGCAGGGGTGTTCTTGCCCCTGGCCGCACCACAGCCCCGTACTCACTGGCTCTTCTCCAGCTCAAGCAGGAGCACCTGGCCCTCAGCCTCCAAGGCCACCAGGCCTGAGTCTGGCATCAGGATCTAAGAAGAAAGAGTGCAAGTTGAGAAGGGAGCAGGAGATGTGGAGTGGCTCTGAGAAAGTTCACAGGGACAGCAGCCCCGTGCGGTCACAGAGGACATACATGGACAGGCATGGGGTGAGAACATCCAAAGAGTTCCCAAACTTGGGGTATTTGTTGTGACTACAGCCACATAAAGTGCATAAACAGAGTGCTGGGGCATCCCAAGTCCTTTCTGGAGGCAAGGAGCCCCAGAAGGGCACCCTGCTTACCCAGAGTTGCTGGCTTTCCCTTGGCCTGCCTTCCTCTTTTGTGTCAGAAAGGGCACGACCAGGACAGAAAGATGATGGAGTCCAAGGAGCGACATTGGGCAGCTGGGGCTCAGGCCTCCTTACAGTCTCTGTGCTGTGTGGGGACTTGTTTCTGTATCTCCCTTTCGGAGGCGCTGGGGCTGGGACCCAGGATCATACACAGGCTAGGTCAGTGCTACCGCTGAGCGGCAGCCCAGACGCTGTGTCTGCACCTTGCTGACAGCCCTGAGAACGCAGACTTCACTCCTTCACCTCTGGCTCTGGCAAACTGCCCTGCCCTCTAGTTTTCCATAGCTCCAGCAAAACCACCCCACACCTGAGTCCCAGAGTAAACACGGCCTCATCTCAGGCTTTCACTGCGAGAAATCAAGAAGGCCTTCTCCTCACCCTCTTTGCCTCTTCCACCTCACAGAGCACCCAATCTTGCTGCCTTGTCCACTCTGCCTGGCCAGAAGCCCAGAGTTGGAATCAGTTCAGGAAATTCTGGGGGGCTGCTGCATGTTCAGAATGTTTTCCCCACCTTGGCTGGTCCTCTCCTTTTATCCTAAAATGCACCAAGTTGGGATCCAGGCCAGAGGACTCCTCTGCAGGTGGCAAACAGACAGCCCTCATTTCCCCAGCCAGGCCCTTCAGGCCCAGGCATGAGCTCATGTGGCTGGAATGCCACTGGTTTCTTGGGAAAAGTTTGCACTAGGAGAAAGGCAGTGGCCCAGATGAAAGGCCACGCTTGAGGTCCCTGTCCCTCTGCAGCCCCTACAGCCTTCTCTTCTTCCCCTCTAGTAAGCTCGCCCCTGCCCATGTGCCTGTCCCCCTCCAGTGTCCTGCCCTAGAGGATGCCCTGCCAGCTCAGTCTCCTGCCTGGCCTCCCTCTCCCAACAGGCTTCCTGGGTCCAGAGGCCAGAGCTGGCAAAGCAGTGCTCTCTGGGATTCTCCTGTGCATCACAGCCCAGGCAGATGGGGAGGCCCACAGTTCAGGTGGTCCTGCATGTGCCAGCCTGCCCTTGTACTAAGGACGTCCACAACCATATCAAAGCACTGACCAATACAGTGGAGGCCCTGAAGGTCTAGAGATCCTCAATGAAGCCCTAAGTTGGGGCCCCAGTTTTCATGGAAGCACCCTCCTGTCTTTGTCCTCACTGGACTTGGACAGTGAGGCTGTGCCTTGTTCCCTGGAAATACAGAACTGAGAGCTTCAGACCTCAGCAGGTCTCAGGTTTATGGGCCCAAAGAGCTGTGTGGCTGTGGGCAGTTTTCCAAGCTTTCTGGGCTTCAGTTTGTGCCTCTGTGAAATGGGCTTGCAGTGCAAATGCTGTGGCCTGCACAGAAGGGGCACAGTTTCTTTGGAAGAATGTAATGAATGAGTACGAGTTGGGGGGAGGCAGGACAGATGTTTTGGAGAAGCATACAGAGTGGGCTTGCATCAGAGCACGGGAGAGTGACACTGCCCCTGGCCACAAGTGGACTGCACAGGTGGCAATGAGGCTGACCTGTCGGAACCCTCAATGGAAGGGCTTGGGAGGGACAATAGTGTACCCACACAAAAGTGTCACCTGCTTTGGTAAACTCAGCCGAAGGGAGATAGTTTGGTGTCTTTTTTTCAATTTTTCTTTTATTAAATCTCTCTTCAGTTGTCTTTATTTTTTTTTAATATTTATTTATTTATTTATTTATTTATTTATTTATTTATTTAGTGTGTGGCCAGCTCAGCCCACCAGGGGCAGGCGGGCTGGCATGTGGTGCTGGAGGATTGAACTGTGGTCCCTGTGCTTTGCTTGGCTTAGCTTGTTCTAAGTAGGTGCTTTAGACCACTGAACCATCTCACCAGCCCCAGTTTGGTGTCTTTTTGAAGAGGCTCCTGAAGAGCTCAGGCCTCCCAACTTGGCCTATCTCTGCCTATTGGGGGTGGGGTAGTCTGAATAATGGAGGGACGGAAGAAGGGCGGGGACTGTGCTGAAATGACTTCCATGTGTGCAGGCTGGCGCCATCTAGATGTGTCCCCACTGCACCCCCTGCCCACCCAGGGAGAGCCACAGAAAAGCTGTCAAGCTACCACTAAGGGAAGGGCAGAGGGGTTGGGAGACCCCAGACCCTGTGGAGGAGCAGTGACAGGGCACTGACCTGCTCTTCCAGGGTGACCGTGCGCCAGGGTCGTACATCCAGGAACCAGTGTGGGGTGACTGGCTCTCCAGAGGTGTTCCCTGTAGTGAGGACAGTGCAAAATAAGAGGGGCCTTAGAGGAGGAAGGAGTGGGGACAGCAGGGGCCAGGGAGGGAGTCACAGAGGTCCCCACAGGCAGGCTCCATGCCCAACACTCAGGGTTCAACTTGGGGATAGGCAGGCATTCCAGGGACAGCCCTGCACCTGAGAAGTCACAGATGAGGGACAGAGAAAGACAGGAGCCTGGGAAGGAAGAGCTCAGCTAGGAACCTGGGAGCTGCCTGAACCTGGGGGAGAGGGGAAGGGGGACAAACTTAGGGTCAGAAAGGAGTGGGAGTCAGAGGTCACAAGAAAAAGGCCCAGGCACCCAGTACAGAGGGGAGGGGTGGGAAGAGGCAGCCCTGGTATTTTTAGCCTGGGCGGCAGATGCCTTTAGAGTGAGAGATCTGCCAAGAGGCTGCCAGATGTTGCCTTGGGAGTCCACTTTGTGCAAGGCTCCTCTTGAGCCTTGATGCTGGTGGTAGGGTTCCTGGGGACCCTGACCCAGAAGCCCCTATTTTTGTGTTCAAAGAGAGGAGGACTCAGGGTGCAAACTGGGTCCTCCTAGACAGGATGCGCCTGGAAGACTCTAGGGGCATCCTGGAGCCGAGCATTGCTGAGAGGGCCCTGGAGTACTCTTGGGTGCTCCTGCCTTCTCCTAGCCAGTTTGACAACCCCTACCAGGAGGCTGCAACCAGGCCAGGGAGATGGCTCAGTAGAATAAGCGCTTGCCCAACAAGCGCAAGAGCCTGAGTTCAATCCCTGGTCCTGCCAAAAAACCCAACCAACCAAACAAACAAAAAACAAGAGGCTGCAGCCAAGCCTCACACCGCTCAGACACTCAGTTCCCAGAACAAGCCTGTCTTCCAGAAAGGACAGCTGCCCACCCACTGCCAACAGCCCTCCTGGGTACTCCTGCTCCTTTTTCCTGCACCTCCTCTTCCAGACCTCAGGCATGGAAGCTGCTTCAGGAGTCAGTACCCTGCTCCCTAGGAGCCCATCAGGCAAGTGGGGAAGGGGAGCAGGAAGGCTCTAATGTTGGGGGTTCTGAGTGGGTCTGGGCAAGTGCAAAGAGATCACTGAGCCCAGAAGGGCTTAACCGAGTGTGGAGAACACAGGCTTTGCTAGCCCAGGCCTTGGAGGGTACAGGGTATGGGAGCAATGTGGTCCTGCATATGCTTGCTACCCACCTGCACCTTGGCAAGGGGCCAAGATGGAGCTGGGTTCTCAGCTGAGGAGAGGAGTGGGAACAGACAGCCCCCTCTCTCCCTAGAGTCCCATCCTACCTCCTGGCCCCAACCTAGACCTATGAAGGTACAGAACAGTCGAATGGCTAAGGATGATCCCCGAAGACATGACATCTGTCATCTCCCCCTTCCAGGCCAGAACAGATCAGGCACTCAAACCTGTGGGTCCCCACCATGGAATTGTGGAATTTGAACCCTCTAAGTTGCCAACCAGCCCATGCCTCCCTTTTCCTTGTTGTGTGCCCTTTCTGCCCTCCTGCCAGGTTCTTCTGGCAAATCCTTCCAGCAAGCGGCCCCACCTTGCAGGGAGTCAGGGAGCCTCCCTTGGAAGACTCTGCAGGCTTCCCAGACACTGCCAAGCAGATCCCTCTGTTTGTAGAATCCTTGTCTGTCTAACCAAACAAGGCAACTCTAAACAGTACACACTGCTGCCCAGGCCAGGGGTGCTGGGGAGCCTGGGGACAGCAGGTGCTGCAGGTGGGCAGTGCAGGACTCCAGGGGCTCAGTGGGCTTGGGGGTCCTGGGGAGGAGACCTGCTGGCCCTGGGCTCAGAGACACAGCAGTGTTCACCCTCGAGTTGCGACACTAGAGACTCTAGGCAGCAGGCCCTGAGGCTGGGCAGCTGCTGGGTGACCCTTTGCCTCTCTGCTTGGCCCCTGGTAAGAAAAAAAAAAAATGTAGGCCCATGCCACGAGGGTCCCTGTGCAGTTCTCCTAGTGCCCACCCAGATCATCTGGGGTCCTGTCCTCCCTAGCAGCCGGGTGCCTGGGTTTCAGCACCTCCCTCTGCAGGCCAGGTCTGGGGGCTCACTCAGCCCCACCCTGCCACCCGCCTACCCCTGGGGCCAGCCCACATCCTCACCTGAAAGCACCCAAGCGCCAGGCCCTGGCCCTGAAGACAGCAGCAGCGGCAGCAGTGACAGCACCCACCGCAGTCCGGGCGACCCCCGAGCTCTCAGGATTCCCCTGTCCATGGCCGCCAGCTCCACCCCGGCTGGATGGAAGCCACCTTACACCCGCGCAGGCCACAGGCGGCCTCCAGTCCGGTCCAGGCCCTGGGACCCCACCGGGCCGCGGGCGGGAGAGGAGAGCAGGAGGCTGGAGTGGGCGGGACCGCACCCGGCCCTCGCGGGGCCGAGGGTGGGGTGGGGTGGGGCGGGGCGGGAACCGCGGGAGACCACAGCTGGATGCGGGGCCCAGACCAAGGATAAGAGCGCCCCCTGAGCGGGTTCCTGGGACCAAGTTCTGTCCTCGGTCCTGGTCAGAGCAAGAACCCCGCAAGGGTTTGCCAGGTGCTCCAGGGGAGGAGCCCATCAGGTGCAGCTGTCTCCAGCCCATGTCTGTGTGTGCACGGTGCAGGTGGGCAGCGCCAAGCCCGGCGGTTCCAGAAAGGGCGATGAGGTGGGACAGGTGCTGGAAGTAGCCCGGCCCTGCACCCTTGACCTAGCAAGGGGTTAGAACTGTATAGTGCCCTGCCCTCCAGCGTGGGGAGACTTTCTGTCTCAGGAACATCTGTTTCGTGTTATAAAGGCTTGTTTGAGTACTAGATACAAAATATTCTAATAGGGAGGGATGTTAATTTTCAAGATCTGTTTGTTGCTGAGAATTTGGAATAAGTGATTCTGTTGGTAAAAGGCTCAACCAAGGAGAGAAGCCTACACTTTTGTGATTCAGACAACAGAAAGCCTGATCGTGTGTGGCACTGTGGACCCCCGCCTCTAGTCCCAGCTACTCCAGAGGCTGAGGCAGGAAGATCACTTCAGCCCAGGAATTCTGTCAGCATGGGCAACAAAGCAGACCCCATTTGGAAAGTTTTGCTTTTTAAGTAGGATAAGATGCTTAGGGAAAAGTCTTCCAATAGCTTCAGTCTCCATCCTTTCAAGCATCACTCCCCACAGGAAATTGCTTAGTTTTTTGCATAGGCTTTTAGATTTTCATATATACCCAAGACAATAGGACTTTTTCCTCTTATAAACATTTTTCTGCCCTTTGACTTTTTATTTTAGTTGATTCACTTTGGGTTTTTAAAAAATTCATTTTAATGAGAAAAAATAAAATAGTTTCAAAACAGATTAGAGGACTGGTTACAATAATTAATATATTGTATAATGTTGTCTTCGTAGTGGTTATTCAGGGGACAAGATGCAGACATGGTATCTTGTCTAAGCAAATATTAGTACAAACCTTTATTCTCAATGAACTAAGAGAAAGTCACTGTCTATCTATCCTAACTCTTGTGTATACATATGTGTATATATATATATATATTTCTCTTTGTTTTCCACAACAAAACAGTCCTTTATTTACACTTGTGTAAAGTTAGTAACACCTGACACTAGGTTGCCTGGCAGCTGCTGGCTGACCTTAACCAGACGGGGTGCTCATCTCCGGAGTGAGGTAGCTTGTTTGCTTTAGGCACTGGGCCAAGTCCCACCTACACATATTTGGTCGATTTCCTAGCTTCATGGCTCCCAACATAACCCCTTTTTCATTTTGTTTTGTCAGAGATGGGTGTTCCACTGCACTTAGAGAAGCTGTATTTGGAGAAGTCTTTAAAGGACCTTTTCATACTTGAAGCCAGTCTAAAGATTGCAGATACTTGAATTCAGCAAAATAACCCAATATAGTCCAATAGTCCATAATAGTAGTGGGTTATCAGCAGAACTGGCAATTGTCAGAAGTTGTTGAGCCTTTTACAGCTCAGCATATTAATATGGTTTTACTTTTTATACCTTGTGGTTATACTTTTCTGCTGGATGGTTAAGACCAAGTTAAAGCAAGACTTATATAACTAAAAATGTAACTTTTGTATCTGACAAGGTCAGTCAAATCCCCCCCAGGATTTACTCTAGAGCCGTGTCAGTTTAGGTTTTAAATCAACTTCCAAAAATACCAGTTTTTAAAAAAATTTTATTTGTGTGTGTGTGTGTGTGTGTGTGGCCAGCTCAGCCCACCAGGGGGCGGGGCTGGCTGGCATGTGGTGCTGGGGGATTGAACCGTGGTCCCTGTGCTTTGCTAAGCTTGTTCTAAGTAGGTGCTTTAGACCACTGAGCCATCTCACCAGCCCAAAATACTGGTTTCTTAAGATATCATTTCTATACAGTAAACTGCATGTAAGTGTAGTTAAGTAAGTTTGATCATTGTATATAACAGTGTAATCATCACAAGTGTGATTCATTTGCAACACTTTTCACAAGCTGCCTATGCCCCCTTCCCGAGATTCTCCCACTTGCAAACCCCGGAGGACCACTTATCTCTGTTTCATCTGTAGGATGTTTTTGTCTTTATGAGACAGAGTCTCACTATGCAGTTCAGGTTGGCCTTAAGCTCACTTTGTAGCCCAGGCTGGTCTCAAACTTGAAATAATTCTCCTGCCTCAGCCTCCCAAGTGCTGGGATTACAGATGTGTGCCACCACGCTTGGTGGTCATAGGCTGGTTTTGCCTGTGTATGTAAATAGAATTATACAGCATATACTCTTGAATCTGGCTCCATTTCCCCTTTATGATTTTTTTGAGATTCACTTACTCTATTCTGTGTATCAATACAGGAATGCCTTGCTTAATGACTGGGTTTATTCTGAGAAATGTTTCGTTAAGAGATTTCATTGGTAAATAGGATCTCAAGTCCGCATCTTGTACAGCAATTAACCACTAAGAAGAATATATGCAGTGTATTATTTGTTGAAACTGTACTTCCGATTTGATTTGAAACTGTCTCATTGCTATCTGTTTATCAATAAAACTTTGGAAAAAAAAAAAGAGATTTCATTGGCCAGGCATGATAATGCATACTTGTAATCCCAACTACTCAGGAGGCTGAGGCAGAAAGAGTCCTAGTTTGAGGTCAGCGTGGGCAATTTAGAACCTGCTTCAAAATTTAAATACAAAACAAACAAATAAAACGTTTTCTTAAAAAAGACAGAAAAGGCCAGCCAGAAAGCTCAGGGGATTAAAGCACCTGCTTAGGCAGATACAGGGGTTGGAGGCTTGATCCCCAGACTGCCGTGCTGGTCCCACCCTGGGGCACTCTGAGAAGGCAGTTGAGACTGGGTGTGGTAGTGCATGCCTGTAATCCCAGTGCTTGGGAAGCTGCAAACAGGAGCATCTCTACAAGTGATCTGCGTAGTGAGACCCTACAGATCTTGTAAGACCTAAAAAAAAAAAAAAAAAAAAAACTTCTACCAAATTTTGGAAATAAAGCAGTTGAAGGCAGAGCCATGAAAATTTGCATTCAAATTTAAAGAAAACCTCCATGAGAACTGGATACAGTTTATCAATAAAAAAAAAAAAAAAAAAAAAAAAGACTGGAAACATAGCTCAGTGATGCAGTGCTTGCCTAGTGTGAATGAGGCTCTTGGTTCAGTACCCAGTGCTGAGAGGCCGAGGCTGAGGCAGAGATTGCACGGAACAGAGCATGCACTTCCAGAACCTAGCTGGTGTGGCCTGCTCCACACCTAGGTTCTGTGTATGGTAGAGCCTCCTGTTCTCAGGCTACAGCCCTGTCCAGCATGTTTCTATAGGGAATACTGCAGACAATGGAAACACAATGGAAAATATCGCAGGCATATCTAAGTGTAGAACAGGTATGTAAACCACCAGGTGCACTTTCAGTTGCTTTGGAATCTTACAGGGCCACTGTCAGTCACACAGCCCATCACTGGCTGAAGCATTGCACGGTGCATGATGGCAGCCTCATTGTATTAGCCACTTTACCAGAGGGCTTTATTACAGCTCACGGTTTCAGTCCATAGTTGGCCAGCTCCAAGCAGAGAGGGCCTGGTGGAAGGGCCTGGTGGAGGGGGCTGGCGGAGTGAAGCTGGTCATAGTGGCATCCAAGAAGCAGAGATGTCCCCTCCTTCAGGGGCCCTTCCCGACCCAAAGCTGGGCTGTTGTCCTGCGTGGCCCTTGCTGCCATGGCATGTTTCACAGAGGCTCACAGTTGCTTGCCTCCCCTCCCTCCCAGACCCAGAGTTCCAGAGTGCCAGGAAACTTGTGTCTTCCCTACAGCTAGGCAGAGGGCACAGCGCAGCCATGCCAGAAAAGCTGATGCTTCCCAGAGCAAAGGGAGCCTGAACATTGGGTTAGAAACATCACCTGTACCCTTGTCTGAAGTCATAGTTCGTGCTCAGTGTCTTGTGACATTCCATTGTGGGAACACAGTGCAGTTCATATTGCCTTTCCATTGCTAGCGTGCATGTATTGCCTCTATTTCTGGCTGTGATGGGTAGCATTGGAAGTCTCACACTGACATAAACCCTCATTTCTTGAGTGAATACCCAGGGGTGGAATGTCAGGGTCATGGGAGTGTTTTAGCCTCAATAGATATTCTCAGATTGTTTCCTAAAATTTTCATACATACTGCACAGTGCCATTTACAGAAATTAAAAAGCAAGAAAATGAAATCCATGGTACCAGAAGTCAGGACAGTAGCGGCCCTTGGGGGGTTGCCCCGGCAGAGGAGTTGAGAGGGGCTCTGGGAGTACTTTCTGTTTCTTGATCTGTGCTGCCTACATAGTTGTTTGCTTTTTAAGAGTTCCCTGAACTGTGCTTGTGCACACTTCTTAGCTGTGTCTTTTCTGTATGTTACAATTTAGTGACAACTTTACTTCAAAGTCTAGGGAGCCTTCAGACCACAGAAGGACCCAACCAAGCTCCCTCCAGCCCAAGTTGGACATATATCCCCTTGAAGGGATACAGATTCAGATGACAACTTCCAAGTCACATGTTCCCTGGCCATCTTCAATTCCCTGTTGATTTCTTCTCCAGACACCACCAAACATCTAGTTGCATTTGATTTGCTCTGTCTGTCCCACCCTTGGATTTAACCCAGGGTTTCCACCTCCCACTCAACAACAGGGTAGAAGAACCAATGCTGTGCTAGTCATTGTGGGGAACAGCACACAATCAGAGCCTCAGAGGCAGGAGGGACACACTTGATTCAGCAGAAGGCAGTTGGTGATAATGTCATGTGATTTACACTCCCTGTTATTGTCTGCAGATGTTCCCCAGAACAAACCCATTAATTTTTGAATCTTCTATGTTCTATCCCAAAAGTTTGGGTTGCAAGAAAGAAATTCACTCCACTTGCACCGTAGGGTGGAATTTTATTGGGAGGACATGCTGGAAGGGCTCCAGGAAGAGTGTGGCAATCAGGCACAAAAAGAAATGTGGCCCAGAATGAGAGAGGGTGTGGCCCCAGCCACACTTCGCCTCAAACTTCTTCTCAGCCTGTGAGCTCCTGCTACTCTCAGTGTTTCTCAGCCCAGAGCTGAGAGTTGCAGGCCCTTTGCTCCTCCCATCACTTGCTAGCAGGCTATTAGGGGAGCCGCCTACAGCTCAAGAACCAGCCTCTCCAGCTCCTGATTCCCAGGTACTTCATTTCATGTCAGTTGCCCTGATTGGCTTCAACAGCCCCAGGTACACATACATCTAGTGGGGGGATGCACTCGGAGCAAGACCGGGGATACTAAGCTCATCTATGTCTGATCTTCAGGTTTGAAAGGCTGTTAAAGCTGGGATGGGCGTGGAGAGGAAGGAAAAGGGGCACCACTTCTTCTAAGGGCCAGATCTGGCCCAACGATCAGACATGCTCACACCTTAGGGACTACCAAACCTTGATTTCTTTACCATCGCTGTGTGAGAGGGACCAACTGTCTCTTCCAGGAAGCCCAAGAACAGAGTGGCCAGGGGCACTGAGATAGGCCATGCCCATCATTATCAAAGTCCCAGGGCCAGCCTGATAGCTCAGTGGACTAAAGTGCCTGCTTAGGCAGAGCACAGCAGCTGGGGTTCAATCCAGTGAGCCATGCTGGCCCTGCCCCTGGGGCCCGCTGAGATGGCACTTGAGACTGAACATGGGGGTGCGCACCTATAATCCCAGCCCTTGGGAGGTTGAAAACAGGAGAATCACTATGAGTCTGATCTACATAGTGAGACCCTGAACACCCTGTAGACCCTGTGCTAAATACAGAAGAAAAAAAAAAAGTCCCAGGATTGACTCCACAGGTGAGAGCCATTTGGAAACAAAACTCAATGGACTCTGTGCTCAGAATAAAACCCTCTTTCCAGTTTTTCTTGCAGGTTGGTGTGCTCATGTGAGCAAACTTCAGCTGAGGTGAAGGGGGTAAAATTGACCTATGCAACTTCTGGGTTGTGTGCACAGTGACAACGGATGTGCCTTCCTTCCACTTTCATTATTTCATCTTTTGGGTGGGGGGTGGGGGGGCATATGGCCGCAGTGGGGCCATCGTGAACCTCACTAGCAAAGTCTATCTTTTAGGGATGGAGAAAAGTAAGACAGAAGAAGCCTGAGCCCCAACACCTTACGCCACCATAGCATATCCAAACTAGTAGAGAAAGAAAAATAAAATTCATTTTGAAGCTGCTGTATTTGGTCTCATGTTAGAGCAGTCTGCCTTACTGATACACTGTATGGTACAGAGTTGCCCTGGCCGAGCTATGAGGACACAAATACCCTTCTGTTCCAATCATCCACAGGTCATTCAGGGGCAATGCCTCCTTTGGAAAAGAGATGATGGGGAGGAGAGAGGAGATCCAGAAGAAAGATAGAGGCATAGAGACAAGTGGATGGCTGGAGCAACTCAGATCTCTTGAGGGTCCCCTACAGCCAGCACCTTGTGGGTAGACAAAGTCTTTCCCTACCTCTCATGACCCATGTTTCATGGGGGGAGAGGGGTTTGAGCCAAGTCTTCAGAAGTCAGGTGTCACCATGCTCTTTGCGAAGAGGTAGCCAGGACCTGGCACTGCCTGCTTCACAGTGCCTGGTTTGTCAGTACTTCCTCCTCCTGGGGGCAGGCAGTGCCACCTGTCAGCTCAGCTGCTGAGCACAGAATAAAGTCCCACATGTGCCTGTGTCGAGATCAATACACTTTCCACAAAGAAGCCCGGGCTATAGGCTGACTGTGGCCATTTACCCTTTGTACCCCATGTGCCCCACCCCGTCCTAGGCAAGGTTCCCAGGGATTGGTGGTAATGCACATGCTGGAGCTCTGCCTCTGACCCCCAATGCTGCGCATCTGTGGGGGCAGGGCACACTGTCACCCCCGCCCAGGTGAGAGGCAGGCTCAGGAATGTTGAAGAACTGAAGACAAAGGCAAAATGGGTCTTGGAAGTAGGGGTGATGCTGCTAGCGAACCACACAGCCAGCCCTGAGCTGAGCATGGCTCTCGCTCACTCTAGCAGGGTCTTGGCTCCTTGTACTTCCTCCCCAACCTCCCCCTGGCCCCAGGCATCATCCCAGATGCCAGCTGGGCACTGCGAACAGGCTGGCATCAGGCCTGCATGTGCCCAGGTGTGCAGAATGCGTACCTGCATGTCCCCATGTCCATCAGAGAAGTTCATCTCCAAATTCTTGCTTAGGTGCAAATGCTGAGAACGCTTCCTGCACAGTCAAGAGGGGACTCAGAGGACTCTGCTCCTCCTTCCTTCCCCTGCCCATGTGGGCCCCAGGATGCCCCATTTCCAGAGCACCTCATTGTTCTTCCTCCCCAGCCCTTTCTTCAACAAACAGGGTGTGGAGGAGGAAAAAAAAGCTACAGGTGTAGAGGCAATTCTGGGGGAAATCCCTCACTAGGAGTAGCAGTACATGGACTTGGAAGGTAAGAGGTCCCCACAAAATAGGGGCGTGCTGGAAGAAAAAGGGCAGGGTGACCCAGACCTACCTCCACACATAGTAGGCCCCCAGCCCCAACAGCAAGCTCAGGAAGGCAGCCAGCAGTCCCAGCACCCAAAGGAGATGCTGGAACAAATGCAGCTGGTGCAGGGCTGCAACCCGGAGGAGGAACTCAGGGGCAGCCATGGCTCTGGGCCCCAGTGCTCCCTCCAAGGTACACCAGTGCTCCCCTCCCACTTCATGTCAAAGCCTCTATCTGGGCAACTCCAAGAGGCCAGCTGAGACCAGACAGACAGGCGTGGCACAGCAGAAGGGCTGAGCTGGAGGCAGCATAGAGGCCTGGGAGAGGGAGCACCCTCTCACCTGAGACCCCAAAGTAGGCAGAGGCAGAGGCAGCGCCCAGGCTGTTGGTGGCAGAGCACACATATTCCCCCTGGTCACTGGGCTGCAGTAGCTCCATGTCCACCCGCAGGGCATTGGGGGAAACTGAGACATGGATATGCGACTCTGCAGGAGCACCCTGTAGCTGGCTGGAGGCCACCAGTCTGCTGCCCAGGTGAAGGGTCAGGCTGGCTGGGGGCTCACTGTCCACCTGGCAGTCTAGGATGCCCTGGAGGCCACCCCCAGGCTCCACAAAGACCGTCATGGTGGGCGTCTTGGGAGGGTCTGTGGGGAGGAGAAAGTGGAGGTTTCAGGAAATGACCACAAATCCCTCCCTCCCTGCTGCTGTTCACACATGGTGACTTTGCTGCACCTCCTGTGGAGAGTGGAGTCTATTTCTGCATCCCTGGTGTCTGTGGCTCCCTCTGACCAACTGAAGGCAGAAGGGATATTGTGGGACTTAGGGGCTAGACCTCGAAGGTCTTGCTGCTCACTCTGCTTCCTGAATGGGACTGTGTGGGAAGGCCATCTTGGCCGGTCCAGCCTTGTGGAGCCACTGGACACCTACTGCCAGATGAGGTGAGGCCAGCAGAGCTGCCCAGCTGAACTCAGCCCAGATTTGAGACCCACAGAATTGTGAGCTGGGGATGGCTTGTTACACAGCAGTAGCTGCCTGATGAGGCCTGGATGCTACAGAAGACTAGACTCTGAGACCATGGCTGATGAGAGCCCATTGTGTACCAGGCACTCTGTATCTCCTGTGCCCCTCCAAGAACAGGGAGCTGACATGGCCCCCTTTCACTCGTGAGGGAAGCAAGACAGATGCACAGGGCATGGATTTGGTGAAGCCCTTGTTCTTTGCAGACAGAAGAGGAAAACTCGAGATGGGCACCTAAGAGGCAGGGAGGCAGGAGCTTAACACTCACAGAGCACTTGGAGCATGACAGGAGCAGAGGCAGAGGGGCCAGAGGGCAGCTCCACCTGGCAGTGGTACAGCCCAGCCTGGGCACGGCCCACACGGCTGAAGGCAAGAATGGGCCCCACATGAGCATGCAGTGGCCGACCATTCCGGAACCATGCAAAGGTGGAGTTGCCCGTGGGCCTGGGAGAAGGAGGGAGGCAGCAGCTCAGGTTCAGTGCGGTGCCCTCAGGAACCTCCAGGCCTGGCTCGGCCACCACGCTCACACCTGCAAGGTAAGGATGGGCAGGTTGTCAGGGCAAATGTTGGGAGCAGGTGAAGCTGGAAATTGATCTTATGCAAGAGGGCAGGACAAGCCAGATTGCCTAAAGCAGTCAAGCTATCTCAGTCTCATTTGAGAAAAGCATCCAGCCTGGTCAATGTCAGCTGTTAGTCACTAGGCAATCTTGTGTCACATGATACTAACTTTGCAAAGGTATAAATAAAGGCCCCTTCTGTTCTTTGGGTCTTTGCCAGTCAGGCAAACAGACTTCCACCTGAACCCTTCTTTCATCTTCTTGTCTATCTTTTCCTCATTCCTGTCTCTGTGTCTCCCCCAGGTACCCAAGAGACCAGTGAGTCCTTCAGACAAGGACAGGCAGGAGGTCAGGGCTCTACGGTCCTGTGCAATGTGCAGAGGTCTTGGTCATCTTGGGATCTAGGTGCCCCAAGGTGGGACTGTGCCTTTCCCCTCAGACAGTCAGAAGAGGGTTGCTTTGTATCTGGGAACAGGGCTACAGGCCAGGCCCCCCTCATCAGACCAGCCCATTTGATGCTGCATTTTGCACTCAGACTGGGCTGCCTGAGGGTGGGGCTCTGCTTCTGTCTCCACCCCAGACTGGGCTCCATGAGGACAGAGCTCTGTCTCCCCTCTTCCAGCTCCTCTTGTGCACTGTGGCACATGCTGTCCCTCACGAGATCCCGCAGGGTGAAGCCACATCTCCCCCCAGGCTGGGCGACTCCTCCAGTGATTTGGTCTCTCAGGGCAGTGCTATCTCCTGCCCCTTCAGGCCCTCTAGTGAGAGCTCCAGCCCCTCACATAGGGCCTGGATCACAGCATCCAAGCCCTCTTCTCTCCCCCTCCCCCACTTACTTACCTTCCACCCGCAGCTGCCAGGTGGTGCTCACTGAACCCAGCACATTGTGGGCCGTGCAAACATAGGTGTCGTCACCGCCTGCTGGCACATCCGGCACCTGCAGCTGCAGGGCGTTGCGGGCCACCTGGATGTACCTAGTTCCAGATGCTGAGCCGTGGAGCCCATGGCTAGTAGCCAACACTGTGCCATTGTGGGACAGTGCCAGCTCAGCAGGTGGCTCACTGTCCACTGTGCACTGTACCATAGCCATGGAGCTGGTCCTGGAGTCTCGGAAGGAGGAAAGGACAACATCCTGGGGGGGATCTGGAGGGTAGGGCACAGATGGGGCCTTGTCTAGGTGCTCTGTTTTACTTGTTGACCCCTGCCTGATGGTGGTGAGGTGAGCCTCTAGACAAACGGTCACTTCCTAGAAGTGACACCTTCCAGGAATCCTATGGGCAGAGTCCTCCAGGCAGGGGTCCTAGGGCTCCATGGCTTTGTTTCTCATGTGCCCATTGCTGGGCCCACTGCACTCCCTGTGCACCCCCACCCTCATCCCGGGCAGTGCCAGCCAAGGGTCCCTGCTCACAGAGGACTTGCAGGGAAGCTGGTCGGGAGCTGCGTGTGCCCTGGGCATCGTGGACCTGACAGGAGTAGGTGCCCATGTGAGCCCGTGTGGTCCTCGGGAACCTCAATGAGGCAGCTGTCCCCTCCTGCATCCAGCGGCCATTGTGGTACCAGGTATAAAGTGCGGGCGGGCGTGCAGCAGGGTCCTCACAGGTCACTGTGATGGAGGTTCCCTCAGGGACAGCAGCTGATGGAGCCAGTGTGACCCGTACACCTAAAGAGGTCAGGGTCAGCCAAGCCCAGGCAGACACTGCTGCTGATTCCTGCAGCCTGGGCCAGGCCTGCCTCACCCTCCAACCGAAGCTCCAGCGAGGTGTTGGCCTGGCCCAGAGGGCTGTGGGCTGAGCAGCTGTACAGCCCCTCATCACTGGGCCTCGGTGCCTGCAGCTCCAGTTGCAGTGTGTTAGGGACTGAGGTTGTGGATGAGGAAGCCAGGAGGTGGCCGGCATGGCTGAGGGCCAACTGGGCAGGTGGGCGGCTGTCCACCGTGCACAGCACCAGAGCCAGCTGCCCAGCACGGCTCTCCAGAAGGTAGGTCAGGCGTAGGCTGCGGGGTGCATCTGCAAGGGCCCAGAAAGTGTCCCAGGGGGCTTGCAGGTGGCACTGGAACCCAGGCGGGGCCTGGCTCTTACCCCAACTGCCCCTCTGCCCAGAAAGAACATTTCACCCCAAATCAATGCGCTTTGTCCAGTGCTCCATCCACTGGCTGGATATGGAGTTCTCGGCTAGCTGTGGGGCCCTGGCCTTGAATCCCTCCCTGCATCCAGCCAGACTCACAGAGGATATCCAGGGTGACAGGTGTGGAGAGGCGGGGCACCTGGCCAGGGGTCTCCACAGCACAGCGATAGGAGGCAGCGTCAGCGAGTGTGACGTTGGGCAGGGAGATGGAGTGGGCTCCTGGGCGCTGCTGCCCATCCTGGTACCACTTGTAGGTGAGCTGGGCTGGGTGAGTGGCCCACACGAGGCAGGTGAGGTTCACCTGCTGCCCCTCCTGCACAGTGGCCTTGGGCCACACCTGCACACTCACAGCTGGAGAGAGAGGGACACCCATGAAGGCCTGAGGTGGTGTGAAGGGGGTCACCTGTCTGCATGTGGGTGAGTCACCCTCAGGACGTGCCTCAAACGTGGCTCATTGTCTTCAGGGTGCTTCCAAGCTGATCCCTGGAGAGTCCTGAGTCCCTCCCTGCCCTGCTAGGGGCAAATAGGGGAGAACTAGGCCTCCCAGTGCCCCTGTAGTTTCTCCTTAAGATGCACTTTCTGATTAGTTTATAGGCAGGGCATCCATGAAAATTTCTGTGCTTAAAAAGAGTGTTTCCAGCTGGGTATGATGCCTCATGCCTGTAATCTCAGCTTTTGGGCAGGTTAAGGCAGAAGGGTCATAAGTTTAAGGCCAGCCTGGTTAACTTAGTGAGACTCTGTCTCAAAATAAATTATACAAATATAAATTAAAAAACCAGGTATGATAGCACACACCTGTAATGCAGCACTTGGGAGGCTGAGGCAGGGTTGCAGTGAATTTAAGGCAGCCTGGGTTACATAGTGAGTTGAAGACCAGCCTGAACTACATAATGAGACTGTCTCAACAAACAAAAATAAAATAAAATAGAGCTGGGAATATAATTTAGGGGAATAGTATCTCTGGGCCTAATCTCTAGTATCATATAAAAACAAAAATGAGAAAAACAAGAAAGATCCTATTTCAAGGGGGGTAGGCTTAGTGATATAGCTAAGTGGCTTCCGGAGCCCTCGCTCATCTCTGTTCTCTTTCGGGGTACACATGCATGTGCGTGCACACACCCAAACAAGAACTGACCCTGGGAGTCGAAGTCAGCTGAAGCTGAGGCACGGCCCAGAGTGTTGGTGGCCTCACAGGTGTAGATGCCCTCATCCTCTAGCACGGTGTTGTGGATCTCCACACGCAGTGCATTAGGGGTCACTGTCACCTGCAGCCGGGCATCCCTGCCAGCAGTTTCTCCCACAGCTTGCAGGGTGGAGGCCACTAGGCGGTCCCTGTGGAGCAGCTGCAACTGGGCTGGAGGGTCACTGTCCACACGGCACAGGATGAGGCCCAGTCGCCCTGGGCCTGTGTCCATCAGGGTGGTGAGTGTGACCTGGCGTGGGGAATCTGCATGGTGGGGAATGGTCAGGGTCTGGCCAGAGTCCCCCACCCGGGCTCTGTCATGGTCACAGCCCCTTCCCATCTATGAGTGGGATACGCCCTTACAGGACACATGCAGGCTGACCGGGGCAGCCAGACTGGTGGCTGAGCCTGGGGCCTGAACTTGGCAGTGGTAGGCACCAGCTTGCTTCAGAGTTATGGCTGGAATGCGCAGCATGGCCGATGTCCACTCGTGGCGGAGCTGGCCATCCCGAAACCAGAGGTATGAAGCTTCCTCGGGGACCCCCGTGGGCACTAGGCAGCTCAGGACCACAGTCTGGCCTTCCTGGAGCTCAGAGGATGGTGAGACTTGGACCCAGGCTTCTGCAGGGAGAGACCAAGGCAGGTATGGCCTCTGTACAATTCCAGCAGTCTAGGACTGCATGCCTGGCTGCGCAAGACCTCATGACCCTACCCTTGTGTCCCCGAAGGCTCTCCTTAGACCGCTGTCCAGCTTCAGCCATATGTCTCTGCTGCTTCTGCTCCCAACCCACTTATAGCAGCTCTGTCCTGCTTGGCACTCATCGCCCACCAACTGGAGTTATGGTTTTGTTCTGCCAATCACATCCCACCCACAGGACGCTGTGTCTATGGGAACCAGGATTTTGTGACACCTGCATGTGTGAGCTCTTGACAAATGTTGGTCCAACCCTTAAAGCACTGAAATAGGAGGGGTTCAGATCAAGCTGAAGGCCACCATCCTGCCCATGAACAGTGTCGATGGCTGAGGGCTTGAGGAGCAGGTGGTAGCTGTGCAACCTGGAGCTCTTCCAGCCCTCGCTAGCCCACTCTGCACCCAGATCCAGGCTACAAGAGCCAGGCACAAGAGCCAGGGAAACAGGCCCAGGTAGGTCCTGGTCAGTCCCCAGCCATGGAGCAGGAGATGAAGATCAAGAGTGACAAAACAGCACGGGGTGGAAAACAAGAGCACATGTCGTGCTGAGACCCAGACTACACTAGTCCAGGGTTAGTGGGGCCTGCAGATCGTGCACCACACAGTGAGCTCCTGAGAAAGACTGCCGCTCCATGTCTCTGCCTTTGAAATGAATATTATAAATAAGTAAAGATAGGGTCAGCAAGCACAGGGGCCGGTGTTCAATCCCCTGGCCTGCCATGCTGGCCCTGCCCCCGGGGCAGGCTGAGGCGACAATTGAGATTGGGCATGGTGGCATGTGCCTGTAATCCCAGCTCTTTGGGAGGCTGAAAACAGGAGAAACACTACAATCTGATCTAGTAGTGAGACCCTGAACACCCTGTTGACCCTTCCCTAAAAAACAAAAACAAAAACAAACAAACAAACAAAAGATACACAGAACAAAGGTCCAAAGTAAATGTGCGAAACTGGCCACTGCTAATTATTATAGGAAAGGAAGCATGTTCATTTTCTGGGTATTACCTTTCCTTTTTTCTTGCTTATTTGCTTGGGAGTATTTGTGTACAGAAGGATATGAATATGTATATGCATTCATACATATATGTGCATAATACATGTGTATATTAAGCTTTTTATGATAATTTTTACTATACTTACAACAAAATTATATCATTAACAAGTAAGTTATGTCAGAAGCGTGCTAACCAAACCAGCCGCCTAGCCTAATTGCCACTGCCTCCCAGTGGCTGCTGTAGTAATGACAGGCAAAAGTATCTACCAGGAAGAAAAGGGAGGCTGCCTGGATGAAAAAGAGAAAGACTTCCGTTTCTGTGCAAAATCCACAGCACAAATACAACTCAACACCTGGACAAATAGCCCCCTGGTATTAGGGTCTACCATCATCAAAGGACACATGCTTACCTCGGACATGGAAGAAGAGTGAGGTGTTGGCAGATCCCAGAACATTTGTAGCTTCACAGTGATAGTGACCAGAGTCCCCAAGGGCCAGTTCTCGGATTTCCAGCTGCAGGGAGTTGGGGGTGGCCTTGGCCTGGAGCCTATCATGGGATGGGAGCTGGAGTCCAAGGCTGGTGGCCAGAAGGTGCTCTCCGTGGAACAGGGACAGCTGAGCCAGGGGATGGCTATCCACAGTGCAGATGAACATGGCCATGTGACCCTGACCCATGTCCAGGAGGGCTGACAGCTTTGGAGGGTCTGGGGGATCTGTAGGAACAGGGAGCTCAGGCTTTTGCAGCCCAGCCCACCCTGCCACACTATGTCCCCTCCCCCTACACACAAAAGCCTAGGCCCAGCCAGGCTTTGCCCTGCCAACACCCCAGCCCTACCCAGTGTGCTCCAGAGCTACCCCCAGCACCCCGCTGCCCTGCCTGGCACCCACAGAGCACATTCAGGAACACAGGGGCGGAGGGCTGGGTGGCAATCTCAGTGATGAGCTGACAGGCATACAGGGCAGCCTCAGTCCTGGCCACAGATGGCAGCCTCACAGTCTCCTGGGGACTCTGAGTCCACAACGCCCCATTCCGGAACCAGGAGAAGTTGGCAGGGCGATCAGTGCCTTCCCGGCTCACGCTGCAAGTCAGGTTGGCCTCTGTGCCCTCTTCTAGTGAGTCAGATGGGGTGATGACCAGGACAGTGGCTGGAGAGCAGGGGACACAGGCTCACTGGAGACAGCCCTTGCTCTGACCACCCCCACCCCAGCCAGAGACCAGAAGGAAGGCCCAGGGGCTACAGAGGCATAGACCCTGCCCCTCACCCTGGGCATTGAAGGTGACTGAGGCTGAGGCGTTGCCCAGGGCATTGCTGGCCTCACACAGGTACACGCCCTCATCCTCCAGCACTGGGTTGGGAATCTCCATCCGAAGCAGGTTGGGCTCGTTGGTGACCTTTGTACGTGGGGAGCAACCCCCACATGTGCCACAGCCTCCCATAGATGATGTGGCCACAACATGACCCCCATGGAGCAGCCGTAGATGGGCAGGTGGGTCACTGGCCACACGACACAGTAGGAGGCCACGCCGCCCAGCCTCAGCTCCAGCTGCATCCAATTCCAGGTGCACAGTGAGTGTGGGCTGGTGTGGGGGATCTGTGGAAGGAAGAGCAGGGCCCTCACCTCAAGGCCACTGCCAGGCCCCAAGTCCACTCCAGGATGGGTGCCCAGAGCACACCAGACAAAGGCATGACCCCAGAGCAGCCATAACCAGCTGTGCAGGCTGTGCACAGCCAAAGGGAAACCGGACCAGGGCCCCGGTGCTGGGTGACCCTTCCTGGAAGAAGGGGAGTGGTTTTCTAGCTGGAAGTATGTGCTACGTGGCTGTAAGTCTCAGCTACTCCTGAGGCAAGACCTGTACCTGTGTGTCAGGAAGGTTTTCTGGGACTTAAATGTTCCCTGAATAGGACTCAGCCCCTGGCCACTGCAGCGTATCTGCCTGTGGCAGGATGGAGAGGGCCTGGTCTGTCCAGTGCCAAGGGCTTCTTTCTTAATATCTACAGGAGCCCTGGGGGCCCCGTCCACAGGGCATGTACACATCTATAGAAGTTTGTTGTCCCAGACCCCACCTCCCGAAAATGAAGGGGGGTCAGAATATCTTTGAGAAGAGGGGCAAGTGGGCTATGTTTGGAGGCCAAGACACAGAGAAGTAGAGGAGGCCCCAGCCTCATGGTCCTGATTTCAGCCCTGGGTGGGAAGGTCTCAGTGGCCTGCCTATGACCACACTTTTTCTTCAGTCCGCAGGGCAGGATGGAGTCAAGTGGGCTGGAGGAGTTGGGGCTACTGCTGGTGCCCCAGGTGACCCTCCCCACAGTGGGTGTGGCCGGGCGAGGCTTCTCACAGAGCACAGTGAGGACAGTAGGCATGGAGGGGCCGCTGGTGCCGTGGTCGTCCTGGGCGCGACAGTGGTAAGAGCCGGCATTGGTGCTGGAGGCCGCAGGGAGCAGGAGGCTGCTGCTGGGCCCCTCAAGGAGCAGCGCCCCATTCAGGTACCAGGAGAAGCGGGTGTCTGGCCCTGGGCTCAGGCCACTCCTGCAGGTCAGAGTCACCGCCTGCCCTTCCACCACCTCGGCCGCTGGGCTGATGAGGAGCCGGGCAGCTACAAGAGAGGGGAGGAAGCTGGGGAGGCTGCAGGGCCTCACCCCACCCACCACCTGCAGCAGGAGTTTTCACCTCATTCTCTATGACTGTAGCCAGGTCTAGGCTAGTGGTGGATCAGGAAGGTTCAGCCTTGAATACCAATTTGGACCTTCTGGTAGTAGCTGTCTATGGCACAACTGAGGATTCTGAGCCACAACTTAGCTTGTGCCAAAATCCTGGTTTGACTGATTTATTATGAGGCTATGTCTATCACAGCCTCAGAAGGAGGGAAGGGCACCCCACTTCTCTATTGTGCCTCTTTCATCTAACTCCTAGCACAGACCCTGGACTCCTAGAAGGAAGAGTGATGGAGACCACGACAAAGCAGCTCGGGCCAGACTGAAATTAACCAGTGGGCTCTTCGTGGTTACTTGTGAGTCTGCCCAAGGCTTGGGCTCCTTGTCTGGAGATGGGCAGTGGACTCATAGTAAGAGACCGTCTGTGAGTCACTGGTCCCTACTGAGTCTTGTAATGGTGGGTGAAGCCACCCACCATTCTGTGAGGTGGTGAAGCCTGTGGTTGCTGTTGAGAAGAGTCATAAGACACGATCACAGCTTGATCTTTCCCCTGAGAGAATCTCAAATTCTGTGAGAGGGCTTTGATCCTCCTGGGACCCTGAAATCACTCCATTTGCCTCTTTTTATTTAGCCATTGTCATACACTCATTTGGAGGACTGTGGGCCTGATCAGTCTGCAGTAACTAAGGCATAGTACTAACCCGATACCTGGCATCTGAACAGGAACCTGTGGAAGAGGCCAGAGCAGGCCTTCTATTTGGGACTCCTGCCACACAGGCACATGCACATACACGTGCACAGTCCCACTCCATCTGCGCCCTCTTACCATTGGCTTGGAAGTCCAAGGTGGAGGTTGAGTTTCCGAGGGAGTTGGCAGCCGTGCACTTGTATTCCCCACTGTCAGCTGCAAGCAGGTCTCGAATCTCTAGGCGCAGGGAGTTGGGAGCCGAGGAGATGGTGAAGCGGGGGTTGTAATCACTCTCCCCTGAGCTGGAGGCCACAGTGAGGTCCCCGTGGGACAGCATCAGCGTGGCTGGGGGTTCACTGACCACGGAGCACTGGAGGATGCCCACGAGCCTGGCCTGCGTCTCTAGGAAGCCACTCAGGTCTGGGATGAGGGGTGGGTCTGTGTGAAGACCAGAGGTGGACCTGTCACCCTCAACAGCACTTCCAGGTCCCCTATCAGAACCTATGATCCTGGGCCCTTTTGTACCAGAATACCCTGAAAAGAGGACTGTCCAGGAGCTCCTTGCTGGAAAGTCCCTGAATTGTCCCATCAATCCTTACAGCTGCTCTGCAGGCATAGGTCAGGACCGCACTTCTAAGATGGGAAAGCCAATAGGGACCAGGCACCTTAAGCAAGCAATCCAAGGGGACATTACCAGTATGGGACCAACAACATGTGGGCCTTTCAACAGAATGACAGACACACGGAGTGACAAAGGGCAGAGTCTCAAACAAATGTAAATTGAAGGATAGCCTTGTGCCCTTCAAGGTTCAGCATCATGAAAGATAAGGAAAGACTGAGGAAACGTCCCCACGGGACAGGACACGGCACACAGAGACACAAGGATCCAGCCGTAAATGTGTGAACCTGGATTGGCTCCTGGACTAGAGGAAAAAATGCTGTGAAGGACATTATGGGTCAATCGCTAAAGTCTGGACAAGTGCTGTTGCTTAGTCTTGGACCAGTATCACATTTCCTGATTGTGGCTCTTATACTGGAATGACATACAGGACAGGTCTTGAGAAGTACATGCAGGGAAGTCAGAGGCAAAGAGGCTCCATGTCTGATGCTCAGGAACAGGAATGCAGACCGTCCTCAACTTACATGGTTCCACCTCCTTTCTTCCCAGCTTTACAAGGGCATAAAAGCAACACATGTTCTATGGAAATTCTACTTTGAAGTTTGAGATGGTTTTGGTTTTGATCTTGTTTTTGGCTTTTTTGAGACAGTGTCTTGCCATGTAGTCCAGGCTGGCCTTGAACTTACCCCAACCCTCCTGCCTCCGCTTCCTGAGTGCTGGGATGATAGGTATGCACCACCACAACCGGCTTGAAGCTTACATGTTTACCTTTTCTCTGGCTAGTGATTTGTGGTTTGGTCCTGTCTCAAGGTGCATGGTGAAGGTACTGTCTGAGGCCCTGCTCACCCACTTGATCCCAAGGACAAGCCACTGGCACAGGTATTCAATAAATTACATGAGCCACACAACTCTTCATTACGAAGCAGGTTGTGTGTGAGCTGTCCCTGCCAAACCACAAGCTAATGTAAGGGCACTGAGCATGCGTGCTTAAGGCAGGCTAAGCAGTAGGAGAGAGACAGAGAGGGAGGGAGCGAGAGTGAAAGGGTGAAATAAATGAACCAAAATGTATTTAGAGAATCTAGGTTAAAGGTATGTGATAATTGTTTGTACTATTCTTACAATGTTCATAAGTTTGAACTTATTTCCAAGTACAACTTTTTTCCCATTACTGGGCATCGAACTCTGGGCCTCACACATGCTAGACAAGCACCACTGAGCTGAGCTATATCCCCAGCTGGAAAGAAAATGTTTTGAGGGCTAGTGAGATGGCTCAGTGGTCTAAAGCACCTACTTGGAACAAGCTTGGCAAAGCACAGGGACCGCAGTTCGATCTCCCAGCACCACAGGCCAGCCCGCCCCGCCCCCTGGTGGACTGAGCTGGCCACACACACACTCACACACACACAATAAATAAATAAATAAATAAATAAATAAATGTGAAAGAAAGAAAATGTTTTGAAAAGTAGGAGGCAACGGAGGCCCAGGGAGGACAAAGCCTTGCCCAGGCGTAAACAGCTGGACCATGAGTTCCAGGCCACTGGGCCACAGAATCCACCTGGTTTACCATATGGGTAAAGTGGCCTCCACTTCCATGCCAGGGACCCAGACTCCTGCAAGACTCCACTCTCCTGTCCTGCCCCGCGGTGTCCACTGCCACCACCCTGGCCACTTACGGCTGACCAGCACGCTGACAGGGCCAGAGCGCACGCTGCCCAGGGCGTTCTGCATCTTGCAGAAGTAGAAGCCAGTATCAGCTCTGGTGGCCGAGTGCAGCCGGAGGGTGGGGGTATGGGCGTTCTCCAGCAGGACCTGGTTCTTATACCAGCTGTAGCGGAGCCCACTGGGCGCCTCCTTGGGTGTGTCGCAGGCCAGCGTTACCGTCTGGTTCTCCAGGATGGGGCCTGATGGACTCACCTTGACCTTGGCCACTGTGAGAGCAACACAAGGCATACTAAGAGGTTCCTCAGTGACCCTCAGAATCCTGGGGTGCAACTGTTCAGTGTGAATATCTGCAGATTCTACTTCACTGTCTCCACCTCCCATGCAGGTGCTTAGAGTCACCCTGCACTTCCCCATTCTGCCTACCAGGGTCCTCCTGACATCCCACCTCTCAGCAAGGGACATCTGTCTCACATGGAGGCAGAACTGGGTCTCTATGCCACCTGGCCATAACTGTCCCTGCCTAGACTCTATCCTGCTCCCCTAGTACTCACTGAAGACATGGAGGCTGATGGGTGGTGAGACCGAGGAGCCCACTGTATTTCTGGCTTGGCAGGTGTAGACACCAGAATCCTCCCAGGCTGCCTGAGACAACTGCAGCATGGGGCCATCGGCTTTGAGGTGCACCCCGTCCTTGAGCCACTGCACGGAGCTCACAGTGGGGTAGCTGCTGTTCACTAGGCAGGTGAGTGTGACCGGACTCCCAGGAAAGATGTTCTGGCCCAAGGGGTTGAGGAGGATCTCCACGCCCTTGGGGGCATCTGCAAGGCCCCATGGGGGTGTCGAATGAGTTACAAGGCAGGACAGGATGGGGACACTTCTCCCCATCTTTCAAAGCTCTGCTCTAAGGAAGGTTACCCAGGGAAAACATCAGACTCAAGTGGCCCGTGTCCAGGGCAGCCACCCCCCCTACCCCAGCTGCTTCCATTCTTCTCCACCTAGACTCTGCTAACTGGTCAGTGCTTGCTCATGCAGCCTTCGGCTTCACAGCACTGCCCGCTGTCTCATTCTGATCGAGGTGATGGCATGGAGAGGGTCACAGGCCCACACGGTTTTAGTGGCCTGTGGTTGCTGTTGAAAAGAGACCAGCCCCCAAATGGTGGGGAGGCTAAAGGGAGCATCAGATTAGCTCTCAGAAGAAGTGACTAGTTGGTAAGGAAGGGACCCACAATAGTAAGAAATTGATTCTTCAAATCTGTTCCAAGACCTCTATGCAAATATGCTAAGAAAAGCTCATGTTTCCCACTGCCAAGCACCCTTCTACCTTCTTTCATTTTCTTCCAGCTCCATGAGAGAAAAGCAAGGTATCATTAACTACATTCTACCATTCTGGTGAAAACACCAGCCCTGGGAGGCGATTGTTTGCCAGTCTTTGCAGGAGGCCAGCGGCTGGTCTGGGAGCAGCTGCCTCTGTGGAACAGGTGCCCATTTGACTGAGCTGGGAGGAGGTGGGACTCACGGAGGAGTCGAGCTTTCTCCACTTACTCAGTCAGGCCCCTGCCACAAGCAGTTTACAACAAGAAAAGGGTGCAATCTGCTCCTCAGCATCCTCTAGAGAGAGGCTGAACTCTGGGGTACTTGCCACCGACCCCCAAAGCTCCATGGAATCTCTTGTGTCTCCCTCTTTCTGCTCCTCCAGGCCTCACAGACAGGCCCCTCTAAAGCCAGCAAAGGCAGAAGAGAGCCATTGTGCCTGGCTCTTCTGGCTTGGAGAAGAGCCATCCACCCTGTCTAGAGGCTTGAGTGTGCCCAGCTTGGCATCAGGAAGGAAGCTGCTCCCAGGTGTCCCTCCCCAGACACTCACACTGCACATGGAGATAGAGCTGGCCTTGACTCATGAGGTTGGCCACTGAGAGCTGACAGAGCAGGGCCCGACCGTGATCCTTCCAGGATAGGGCCATGTGGAGGGTCTCCATGTGGCTGATGCCATCTGTGGGGTCAAGCTTCTGGATTTTGGAGATGACAGAGCGAGTGGGGTCCTGACCCTGCCACTGCAGGCTGACAGGCTTCTGCAGACACACGTAGGGTGTGGAGCAGTTGAAGGTCACCTCTGTGCCTTCAAGCAGCTCCTTGGGTGAGGTGATGATGGGCTCCTGGGGCATCTCTGAGGACAAAGACAGGAGAGCTCAGAACCACCACCACCCCCTCCCTCTGCAACACCTGCGAGCTCCTGCCCTAGCAACCCCAGGTGAGGGATGAGCTCCAGTCCAGAGACCTCAAGGGCAGGAAAGGCTGCAAGGAGGAAGCAGGATCGGCAAGGATGAGATGGGACAAGGATGAGGCTGTGAGCTAGGCAGCCAGGCTGCAGCCAGAACACCCCATCCTTACCTGTCACGGTGACTGAGGTGCCTTTGAGATCCGACCAGCGATTGCCCTCGCTGATCTCAAAGCGGAAGTTGTAGGCACCAGCATCCTCAGGCTTCAGGTCGCTCAGCTGCAGGGTGCATGTTTTGTGGTTCATGTCTCCGAGCAGCTGTGCACGGCCGCGGAAGCGCGACTCCACCAGCTCAGGGTTGGCTGAGTGGCTCACCACCTGCCTATTGCCTGAGTACTCATAGTACCAGATGGCAGTGATGGCATTGGGCACCTGCACATTGGCGGGGAAGCTGAAGGTGCAGGGGATGAGAAGGCAGGAACCTTTCACACCCTGCACGTCTTTGGGACTGGAGACGCCCCATGAGGGCTGGCCTGTGGAAAGAGTGATGGGGCAAAGAGGAGGATGATATGGTCTGGGGACCCATGTGCTCCAGAAAGGTGCCCCAGATAGGATCCCAGACCCTGCCCTGACCCCACAATCCCCTGTAGCACAGATAGCCTCTCTCAGTGCCCCCAGGTGGGGGTACCCTTGCCCCACAGCTTGGCAGAAGCGTGTCAGGGTAGCTTCCAGAGGGACATTGGCCCTTCTCTTCCCTGCTGCTACCTCCCTGTGTCTTTCCTCAATTGCAGCAGTCAGACCTCGCCAGGCATGATCCAGACTGCTGGGGCTGAACCTCCGCTGGCAGAGCCCTGGAAACCGAGCACTGGCCGCAGCTTACCTGAGGAAAAGACCGAGGCAAAGCTGAGCAACTGGAGCAGGAAATCCATAGCCATGTCCCAGGCTGGTTCTGGTGCCTAAGAGGGAAAGGCACTGGGCTGGCTTGGCACACAGGGGTCTCCTTGGAATACCTCAGGGCATTCAGCCCCAGAGCCTACTGAGAGTCCAGCCCTGTGTCCCACCTCCTGTGCTGGCCAACCCAGGGAGGAGACAGGTCTTCTTAGGGCTTCCAGAGTGGCCACCAGCAAGGAGACAGGAATCCACCTTCTAGGCTGGGGCTGTGCCTAGAAATATCCTCACTTAGTGGCGTGCCCCAGAAAGATCTCCTGCACCCCCTGGCCCTACCGCAAGTTCTTCTTTCCCCTCCCCTCAAGAACACAGTCCCAGGGCTCATTATCAGCTGTTTCAACCTCCTCCTTCACTTCCTGGCCCCCTCCTTCCCACTCAAGCCAGAAGGAACTGGAGCCCAGAGACACCCAGTGACTGACTCCAGGATACTCAGTAACAAGGAAGATTTCTCACTGGAATTTTTTTTTTCCCTCATCACAGAGGTTATGAGGCCATAATGAGATTTTTGTTTGTTTTCTTGAGGTACAAGGTATTGAACCCAGGGCTTTCGCACTAAACTATATTCCCCAGGCCATTTTTTTGATGTAGGGTCTCACTAAGGCATTAAGTTGCCCAGACTGAGCAATTGAGATCTTCCAGTCTCAGCCTCTCAAAGTGCCGGGATTACAGAAGTGTGCCACCAGGCCTGGTCTTAATGGAGCTAGACTGCTTACCAAAGTGCTGCCTTTAAGAGTCACTCCTCTGTTTTAAAGTTTTCTGTGGCTCTCCATTGTCTTTAAGAGGTAAAAACCTCCCTTTTCTTGCCCTGTCATGTCTGCCCGCAGGCTCCTAGTTACCCAGCTGTGACATCTACCACCACAAGTGATCTTTGTCTACAGACAACTTTTTCTTTTTTCTTTCTTTTCTTTTTTTTTTTTTTTTTTTTTTGGTGGAACCAGGGATTGACTGTCTACAGACATCTTATCCAGACTTCAAGGCAAGCACAGATGGGATTTTCAGCTGGACCTTTCCCTTCAGAGTCCTGATGGTCACCCTAGAGTTATCTGTGTTTGCCTTGTGGCCTCTTATGAGTGGCCATTTTGGAGGGTCTGGAACTGAGGCCATGTGCAGTGCAAAGCCTCAGGCATACTCAGCTCCCTTAGTGATAAAGGGGTATGGGCTTCTGAGCCTCTTTGGCATTCAGAGTAGAAGCCGAGAGGTGACAGGGAAAGTCTAGGTGTTCCAGGTGATACAAGGGCGCAGCACAGGCCCTGTGCCATGGAGTGCTTCTGGTGAGGAGGGGGCTTTCTGGGACCCCACAGGTATGGACTAGGGAGCGGGTAGATCAGGGTGAAGGCCCTGGTTAACTACTGCAAAAGGAAAAAGATATCCAACATAGCATCACAAAATTACCCATCGTCCCACTCCTAAGCATACATGGAAAAGTATGGAGAGGTTTGCCAGGGTTCCCAGCAGCATTTTCACAATAGCCAAAGGGTAAAACAGCAGCAGTGTCACATCAGAATGACCAGCAAGATGTGCCATATGCACACGATGGAGCGGTCGTCGACTGCAAGGGGAATGACATCCTAATGCTGGGCACAACACAGGCAAACCTTAAAAACATTATGGCTTTGCTTTGCTAGATGGGTTTTTTTTTAAATATTTATTTATTTTTTATTTATTACATTTATTTATTGTGTGTGTGTTATTGTGTGTGTGTGTGGCCAGCTCAGCCCACCAGGGGGCGGGGCTGGCTGGCATGTGGTGCTGGAGGATTGAACCGAGGTCCCTGTGCTTTGCCAAGCTTGTTTCAAGTAGGTGCGTTAGACCACTGAGCCATCTCTCCAGCCCAATGGTCTTTTTTTTTTTTTTTTTTTTTTTTTTTTTTGCAGAACCGGGGATTGAACTCAGACCCTTGCACTTGCCAGGGAAGTACTTATTCCACTGAGCCATCTCCCTGGCCCCAACTTTGCTTTGCTATACTGGGGATTGAAGCCCAGAAGTACTCAGCTACATCCCCAGCCCTTTTATGTATTTTTAATTTTCAGACAGGATCTTGCTAAGTTGCCTAGGCTGGCTTTGAGCTTGCAATCCTCCTACCTCAGTATGTAAAGTAGCTGAGATTCCAGGCACGGGCACCACACCAGCTGAACACACGAGTGTGATCAGCCAGACACAACAGGATGAATATTACATAATTTCACCTGCATGAAATTTTTAGAGCATATAAATTCCTACAGACAAGACATAGACTAGACGGTACTAGCAGCTGGGGGAAGGAAAGAGTGGAGAGTTGGGGTTTAATGAGTACAGAGTCTCTATGTGGATACTAAGAAAGTTCTGGAAAGAGACAGTAAGATGGTTACACAATAATACAGATATATGTATTGCTATCAAGTACATTTAAGACAGTTTATTCAGGAAATCATACAAGATGGAAATAGCACCATCTCTATATGCGCACGTGTGCACGCGTGGGGCCAACTTTGCAATCCTCCCTGGTGCCTGCTGGCTCAGCAGATGATAGGAGGGCTTGGGGAGGCTGCAAGTGGGGACAGGAAATGCATGACATCTCCCAGGCCCCAGCCCATCCGCCTCAGCTGACTGCTGGCTACCCTAGGGCACACCTGGGAAGGGGCAGAGCCGAGATCAGGCGTGGATGAGGCCGAGGCACTTTGATGCCTGAGCAGTGCTGAGCCTGATGTAGAAGGCAGAAGGAACATCCAAACAGGGAGTGCACCAAGGACACGGGCAAGACAGGAAGATCTCCGCTCAGCAGGCAGCCAGGACCTGTCCTCAGCTGGAGAAAGCACTAGACCTGCTGTTTCCAGGGACCTGTATCCCAACTTGGCGCCAGGAGATAATCTAGGCCCTCAGGGTGTCAAGCTCAGCCCCTCTACAGCTGGGGACATTCGCACAAGTTGTGTCCCCAGCTCCCTGGGGTTCTAGAAGGGGCAATACAGAAGCTTATGGAGAGATTGTGGATGTAAGTATACAGATCCCAAAAGAATGCATATTCAAAATAAAATTAATTAAAAGAAAAGAAAGAGTTCATAGGGCTGGGGAGATATCTTGGTGGTCTAAGCGCCTGCCTGGCAATTGCAAGGACCCAAGTTCAACCCCCAGTACTGCATGCTGTGCTGTCCCTGAAACTGGGTTTGGTGGTATATGCCTGTAATCCCAGCTTTGGGGAGGCTGAGACAGGAGGATTACTGAATCCAAGCTGCATAGCAAGACACTGTACCAAAAAAAGAAAGAAAGAAAGAAAGAAAGAAAGAAAGAAAGAAAGAAAGAAAGAAAGAAAGAAAAGTGCATAGGAGAACTTCCTAGAAGCACCAGAACACTTGGAGGTCATCTCTGCCTAGCCCACTGCTGTCCTTGTGGGTCTACTCTGTTGGAGCCCCCTTATTGGCTTAGTGACATGGCACACATGCTGCAGCCAGCTGTTTGTTAACACTGAAAGCTCCAACAGGTCCTCTATCACTGACTTAGCCTGTTCCACACCAAAGGCCAGCCTTGGCCCAGAGAATTTTCCTGGAAAAAGAAAGAGCAGGCACAAAGCCAGAAAGGGAGCCTCTTGTCCCTGTGTGAAACCTGATGCGGAGGGGAAGGTGCCTCTGGGCTTGGGATGGGGCAGCTGGGCCTAGCAGGTACCCAGTGCCCTCTGGTGGCAGTGATTCCAGTCCTGAGAAAGGCGAAGAATGAGGGTACTCGGGGGCAGGAACCCCTGTGGCCCTTCTTACACAGTGACTCTTCAGAACACTGCATTGCTCCCAAACAGAAGTTCCTGATGCTCATTCTGTGTTTCCAAGTCTTGAGTGCTCCAAAGGCAGGGTTTCAATTCCCACCTTGGAATTGGAATCAGGATGGGTTGGAGTGGTCTGGTGCTCTGTGGGGAGCTGCTTTGGCTGCATGTGAGATCGACTGTTCAAGGATATCTGGGCAGGCTGAGACCCCAAATCCCTGACTTCAGACCCTGAGGCTGAGTCCAGCCAGGCAAGATAGGGCAGAGGTCATTTCATTGTAGCCAGCTGTGCCTGGGTATAGAATTCAGTTTCTGTTTCCCAACACCAGGGCTTCTCCCCAACTTCCCTATCTGGCTGGAGAAAGAGGGACATTGGGACATGGGGTGATTGATACAGCCAGCTGGCAGGCTCTTGCCCAAAGACAGGAAGTCAGGGCATAGCCAGGTCATTCTAGGAATAGATTGTCTTCAAAGAGAGGAAAGCCCCAAAAATGCAGGCCCAAAATTCATTCTGAAAGCCATAGAAATCATGAAGACTGGGCATGGCTTTGACTTGAGGGGCTGAAAACTAGCATTTGGCTCCTTAGCTGGGCTTTGGATGGCCCTGGCGAGAGCCCCCAGCCCCTAGATGTGTGGGGCAGGATGGGGTCCTCTGCAGTGGTGATGAACCAAGAGGAATGGGGTGGGTCAGAGTAAGGGAGCCTCTGAGCATGGAAGCATGGAGTTTGGGATGTGATTCAGCCTGGGATTGGGGCCTCCAAGGGGCAGTGTGGAATGACAGCTGGGGGTGGGTGACACCCGGAGTTGGTCACAGGTGATGCTGAGGCCTGGCTAGGTTAAGGGCGTTGGGTTGGGTGGTGTGGGAAGGATGGAGCCACTGGGGTTGCATGAGGAAGGTGATTAGTAAGTGGCTGCCAAGACCATGTAGGTGAGGGGGCTGGGCTTGGGGCTGCAGTGGGGTGGGCTCAAGTCTGGGAGTGGGCTGTGATTTGGGAGGATTTAGAGTGGTGGGAGGATTGGGGTACTGAGTACAGCTTTGATTAGTGTTTCAGTCTTGGGTTTCTTTGGAGTCCAGCATCCACATCCACATGTCCCCCAAAAGCCCCAGCCCCCCCATCCCCCGCTACATCCCCCCAGCCTCTGGCTCAGGGTCAGCAGTACCTGGTCAAGGAGGAAGTAGCTCCAGGGGCAGCCAGAGCTCCCAGTGCACGCAGCTGGCTCCTGTCTCTGCACCGCAAGCGATGAGGATCAGGACTCAGCTCTGCTTCCTCTTTCCCAGTGCCTTAGTTCTCCTCCTAGCACAGAGCTCCTGGGTCAGGGAGGCAGCTGCAGCCTTGCACAACACCAAGACAGGAAGGATGGAGGCAGGCCGGCCGGGGACTCTTTAGGATGTGATCAAGCAGAAGTCAGATGAGGGGGCAAAGCCTCCTCCCAGGCAAATAAAAAAGGGGATGAGCCATGCCCACCCCCTCTCTCTGGGCCACTGGGGAAGTGGGGAGACTGGGAGGCCGAGGGGAGCCTTCTGCTGACAGGGAAGGAGTAGAACCCAAGGTTGGTGGGGGATGTCAGGATACCCAGACCAAAAGTGTCCTATTCTCCAGGGCCTCCAGCGCCTCCCTAGACCTCACTGCTGCCTCTACAAACTTTCAAGAAGCAGGCCCTACTTGTGGGAACCCAGGGGCTCCAATGTCCAGGACATTCCTCAGGCCAAGTGGAGTGTCCCTTCCTCATTGTTCGTTATGCTAAAGACGCTGTCATTGTGGAGACAGTTATAACTCTGGAGCCCATTTTTCTGAGGGACTACTATGTGTACCTGACACATCAGATGTTAATTGTTCCAAACAACCCCAGATACAAGTGACACATATTGTAAAAAATATTTCAACTCAAATTCACTCCCAAGTCTTGGTGGGAGCCTGAGGTTGCTGATCAGGCCCGTAGGCCCTGTGGGCCAACCCAATTGTGCAGATCTAAAGCAGATCTTAAATTGTGAAATCTTAAATCAGGGTGGACCAGAATTCTGATCACAGTGGTCCAAAGCACCTGTCTGGCAGCATTCTATCCTGCCGAGGACAGACACCCTCAGTGCCTGAGAGATTAGCTCTCTATCACTCTGTCCTTCATTGACAGCCGTCTGGGCACCTGTTGTGTTTTGTGTCTAGGTGTCCCCCCTCCATAGCCTCATGTAGTCGTGGAGGGCTAGTGGAGTTTGTGATTGATTATTGTGGGTGTGGATGCTGCACCCGCCCTGGGCAGGTAATCTGCATTACAATGTAAGGAGGGGCGAGAGGCTGGCTGGCTGCCTGAGCTGCTGCCCCTCCTTTTGCTCTGCTCTTTGCCACCACCAAGAAAGGTTGCTCTCTGCTATGTGCTGCTTTTCCTTTGAGCTAGCTGAGTATGTACTGAAACCCCTAGTAACAGTGAGCTAAGTAAACCTTTCCTCCCTTCATTTTGAGTGTCAGGTACTTGTCCCAGCAACGAGAGAAGGGTAACAGACAGCATCCTAACCTTGGGTCATTTTCTTCTCTTACCAAACCCAAGGACTTCACTCCCATTGCTTCCTTCCTCAGTGGCTCTAGGACTGTGGGACAGTGGCGTTGCTACAAAGCTTTCTTTTGTAGATACCTTCTCTCAAACTGCTCTACCCCCTTTGATTCTATCTTAGCCAAGTGACACATGCTGGCCAATGGATGTGACGTGAGCAAGGTCTCAAGATGTCCTCACTCTGCAGCCTCCTGTGAGCATCTGTCCACCACTGTGCAAAGGGCAGGCTCCAGCCAGCCCTCTGGTCCAAAGAGGCCGAAACATGCAACAAGCCTCTTTCTGACCTGCGTGTCTATCCAGGCTACTCACCCTTAGGACTGGCAGCACTTGCAGTTTTTTTTTTTTTCAGTATATTTTATTTAATCCAATATATTCAAATATTACCACTTGAACATATAATCAATAAGAAAGTTAATAAACATTTTTACAATTTATTTATGTTGTATTTTTGGAATCCAATGTGTATTCTTTTTTTTATTCTTCTTTTTATTTTTAATTTCTTATCTTTTTTTGATTGTATTTTTTTCCATGATATTATTGAGAAACAAATAGCAATGAGACAGTTTCAAACCAATCTGGTAGGACAGTTTCAGTAATTTACACATTGCATACTCTCTTCCTAGTGGTTAATTGCTGTACAAGACGCAGACCTGATAGCCTATTTACAAACACTGTTAGAACACACTTGCAGTCTTAATCCCAGCATCACATCCTTAATCCCAGCATCACACATCCTAGATCCAGGCACCCCTGAAAGCCCCACCTGTAAGCACACAAGGCTTTGGGGGGATTGAGACACATGCCACAACACACCCCACACCTACCCTCTTTAGGGCGGAAGAATAAGGCTGAACTCCCTCGCCCAGTCCAGAAGCACTACCTACATTTCTGTGTCTGCAGGTGCCCAAAGAGACAAAAATGACAAGCTAATTTATCAATAGGTAGAGACGTGGAACCTCCACATGCACTCCGTGCAGTGGGACTATGAGTCTCACTCCAGAGACCAGAACCAAAGGATGGGGATCCTGGGACACTTGCCCAAGGCAAACATTTCTGGCTACAAAACAGATGAAGACATAAATTTCTTACAAGTACTAGGACCCAGACAGTGTAAACACACTAGAACTATATGAAGAGAGAAGGGGAAAACAAACAATTAAGACATGTTATGTGGCGGTTGTGGTGGCACACACCTATAATCCCAGCACGGGGAGGCTGAAGCAGGAGCACTGCTACAAGTTCAAGGCCAGCCTGGGCTACATAGTGAGATCGGGGCAGCCTGAACTATATAGCAAGACCCTGTCTCAAAAACACAAAAAACAAAACCAGGTGCACTAGGTAAATGCACCACTTCCCCAAAAGAAATGCCATCATTATGTACTGCAAACATGACCAATAAAAATAAAATAAAATAATAAACATAATTCCCTTTCTGAGGGCGGGAGAGATAGCTCAGTAGAATAAGGTCTTGCCTGGCAAGCTCAAGGACCTAAGTTCAATCTCTGGTTCTGCAAAAAACAAACAAACAAATAAACAAAAACCTCCATTTCCATATATATATTCTCTATATATATATATATGAGAGAGAGAGAGAGAGAGAGAGAGTTTTTGGTTTTTGACACAAGGTCTTGTTTTATACATTCCAGGCTGTCCTTGAACTCACTATTAACTGGGACAGAGTACCTGACACCCAGGACTTAAAGGAAGAGAGATTCCTTTCAGCTCAGTCTCAGACCGCAGTCAGCTGCCTCCAAGGCACAAAGGGCATGGTGGAAAAGCCTGGCACAGAGAAGCTGTCCATCACATGGCAGCCAGGAGGCACAGAGAGGAGAAGGAGGAGCCAGGGACAAGGACGCTCTTTTCCAGATCACGGCCCCAGGGACCCCCCTCCAACCAGGCCCCATCTACTAACAGCACTTTCAGTTACTTGCAGGGTACAGTAGCACATGCCTATAATCCCAGCACTTGGGAGACTGAGGCGAAAGCGTCACTGGGAGTTCGAGGCCAGCCTGGGTTACATAGTGAGTTTAAGACCAGCTTGTACTACATAGTGAGACCCTGTCTCAAAAAGCCAGCAAGCCTTCCAGCCACCGAACTCACCTATGTTGTACCCACTGGAGAGTATAACACCCCCATGATCTGATCCCCTCCAAAAACATGAGACTTTGGGGGAGACATCTTAGATCTAAACCGTAACAGTAACTCCACAATCTGTATCAGCTAGACCCCTTCTTAGTTTTCACTCAGCTGTCTTCCATAGACCAATTCTACTCATGCTCCAAGACTGCCGCTTCAGCTCCACCATTATATCCACTTTCCAAAGAGCACATGGAAGGAGGGCAGGGCAGGTAATGTGCCCTACTTTGGGTTAATTCCTTAACTCACACACTGCATTTTTGCTTATATCTAATTAGCCAGAAGTTAGTCACCACGTCTCATGCCTTTATTCTGATAGAGGATGTGCCCAGGTAAATCTTGAGGTGTCAGTGTAGGGGAGCTGGGGGAGAAGGGGCCCTAGTTAGATCATCTATTCCACGTACCTCCCCAGGCCCCAGCCCAGGCCCTACCAGCCGGCTTGTCCGTGCCTCTGCAGAGCCTCCCGCGTCCCCCAGAGGGTGCCAGAGCCCTCTGCTTCCTTGCCTCAGCCCTCAGCCCCTGCTGGTGCACCTGCAGGGTGGACAGCTCCGGCCTCAGTGGTGCGGAGGAGATCTGCACTCTGGTCAGCCTGCAGCAAAGTAGCTCTGTGATTAAGAGCCTGGGACCTGTACAGAGCTGGGTTCAAGTCCAGACATATCACTCGCCCACTGTGGGGCCGCGGAGTAGTCTCCCTACCACGCTAAATCTGCAGTTATCAGAAGCTTGTGAGAAGAGCTTCCCAGGGCCTGGAATGCGGGAAGAGCTCTGTGGGTGTCGCCTCTGCTATGGTTCTGTCGGTGAGAGTGGCTGAAGCTGACCACTCCCCACACCCCACCCCAAAAGCGACCCCCACTTGTTCAGTCACCTCACATAGTCTGTGTCCTGTGCTGCTGGCTCTCCTGCCTGCTCACACAAAGGTCTTCACTATGTTGTCCCTGTGAAAGAGAGACTGGGGGTCATCTCTCCCCATAGCCTCAGGCCCAGGTGGGAAGCCCCCCAAGGACAGGTTTGGGGGCAGAGATTCTCAGAGAAGAGGAGGCCCAAAGGTAGCGAAAGGGGCCAGTTCACTGCTCCTGTCTTTCTCCTCCAGGGAGGGTGTGGGCACCCTCTGCACAGAGATGCACGGAGGCAGGAGCATCCGGACACTCACACAGGACACTCACACAGGGCTGGGTGCAGAGCCATTCTTGAGGCCAAGAGTTCCAACCCCAGCATGGCAAAGACGCAGCAAACAGAACCCACCTGCTTCTGGTTCTGGGCAGTGGTGGGGACCGAGTCTCTACCACTCCTGGCCCCTCCAGTCCCACTGCAAGTGCAGTAAGGAGAGGGCAAAGGAAATCAATTCCTAGTGGCCCTCGAGGAACAGGATGGCTTGGGTGGGGGTAAGGTTCCACTGCACGAATCTTGATTCATTTCTAGAAGAGCACAAGATGGGGGCTTACAGGGAGGGAGGAGGGAGACCCAGGAGATCAGAGGCAAAGCAGGACAAGGCTCTCTGGGGGTCAGCACACCCCCAAGGACCCTTTCCACCCACCTCAAGTTCTGCCGGGACAAGGAAGC